GTTAATCAGTCACATTTAAAATTTACTGAGTTGTGTTTTCTTGTAAGACTGTATCCTCGCTCAAGATTCGCCCATATGTGAGGTCTGCGTAAATACTTGTCTTCACATTCTTAAGCTGTAAAATCAATACTAATATCATAAGAATTGATTTATACAAGATAAATTTAGATTTAGGAAAGAATGAAGTAAACTTTGGTTTGAAAATAGAGTTGGTGGGTAGGACAAGCTATCACATAACATTCTTAAAACAAAGAAGTCAGGATTTTTCTAGTATAGGTTGGATAGATAAATTGATTGATTTTATTTTGGCTACCTACCACAGCTGATTTATTGTGCACCCTATACTCATCCTGTGAGCGATAGTGCTAAAAGGATTCAGAGTAAATGTTACTAAGGGTGTTTAACAGACCCCAGTGTTCAGGATATTGAGGCATTCTGCTCGTATAGGAGTTAACCTATCCACTGGATATAAAATGTGGGTACAAACTTAGTATATCAAATATCTTGTCAACAGAGATAAACTACTCTGCCATTGCACACACACACAGTCTAGTAGGTAGTATCGGAGTGTGTATGGCTCTGTGTCTGGCTACAGCTGCCCGAGCCACACTGCCAGAGGTGTACTTATATCCAAAACTTACTGAACTCTAGTGATTACAACATCTTGTAATCTATTCATCTTGTTACTTATTCCGTGAACATGATTTGCTTGTTGCAACATTAAAGGATTTGTATTGCTCAATTTTCATGCAATATTCTTACTACATTTGTTTATTTACTTATGTCTTTGAGATGATGAACCGGAACACACACAAAAATTGGACTGCATTACCTAACGTAGACACTACATTTAATAATCACACACAAGTCAACAGACATCTGAAATTAGTATAGGATATTATTAATCAAACATGTGAATTAGGTACATAAAGCCCATAACTTGGATGTGGATTAGGCTCAGAATTTCAGAAAAATATCTTCGATTGTGGACAGATAATTTAAGAACATTGATCAATAGTTATCTCTGTATGTAAACAAAATGATAGAGAGGGTTTCTGGTCTCCGTGAAGATAAAGGGGAGGGAACATGATGTAGAGGTAAACCCACGAATGTTTTCACAGGTAAACCCACGAATATTTTCACAGGTAAACCCACGAATGTTTTCACAGGTAAACCCACGAATATTTTCACAGGTAAACCCACGAATGTTTTCACAGGTAAACCCACGAATGTTTTCACAGGTAAACCCACGAATGTTTTCACAGGTAAACCCACGAATGTTTTCACAGGTAAAGCCACGAATGTTTTCACAGGTAAAGCCACGAATGTTTACAGGTAAACCCACGAATATTTTCACAGGTAAAGCCACGAATGTTTTACAGGTAAAGCCACGAATGTTTTACAGGTAAAGCCACGAATGTTTTACAGGTAAAGCCAATGTTTTCACAGGTAAACCCACGAATGTTTTCACAGGTAAACCCACGAATGTTTTCACAGGTAAACCCACGAATGTTTTCACAGGTAAACCCACGAATATTTTCACAGGTAAACCCACGAATATTTTCACAGGTAAAGCCACGAATGTTTTCAAAGGTAAACCCACGAATGTTTTCACAGGTAAACCCACGAATGTTTTCACAGGTAAACCCACGAATATTTTCACAGGTAAAGCCACGAATGTTTTCAAAGGTAAACCCACGAATGTTTTCACAGGTAAACCCACGAATATTTTCACAGGTAAACCCACGAATATTTTCACAGGTAAACCCATTCATTGATCTAGGTATTAAAGGTCATGACCAGGTGATTCCCGTAACATGAGGTGTTAAGTTTTCCTTCAACTTTTTATATTATCAACCATTTCCTAAACCATGTAGGTGGAAACACCACATTTTTTTTAATTTTGCTTCAATTCTTTTATCACCTTATTAATGCTAATAAGTTATTTGTATATTTTAAAGCTTCTTCCATCGTCCTATCTATTGAACAGCTTATACAGACCATGTTCCCTTCTAGGCATAACTTACAGCAGCTTAAACCAGTCAAGGAGATGCCTAATATACCAGAGAATTAGATAATAATTTAATCTAATATCCATCATCTTCTCATCTTTCTTGGTAATTATATTCAAAATGGAGCATCTGGTTAGGCACTTCACAATCTGTATGATCGTTATTTATATATCTTGTTATTTGTAGTCATAGAATTTAATAAATCACTTTAGAAGCTCCAGGATAACACAAAACCTTACAATTAAACGTTTTTCCGCAGCATTATATCGATAAAAGAGTTCCCCATCAGGCGACATGTTGACCCCGTGGGTGTGCGGGGCGCTGATACTGTGCTGCCACACTGCCTCTGGTTCTGAGATCCTTCCTGACGCGGTTGATACGGTAAGTAACCCAGGACCCCCCCAAGTATCTTCCAAACTTGAACGTCAAAGTATGCTTCCTAACCTTTCTCAATGCTTTCGACGAGGCAGAACAGCAATACAATATCCACGTTAATGTAAAATGATTCTACTAAAGTTCTATACACACTGTCAGTAATGAAGCGGGTCTCTTTGTACATGTTGTCTAATGATGGTGCCGCAGGTGAAAATGACTGCCTGTTTAACGGAGCTCATTTCGAATCTTTGTAACAGTTCGCAAGCTATGACGACGTTCCCCAGGGCGACACGAGCCACTACACCGACGCCTCTCACATCGACTACTCATGACTATGTGGTCTACGATGATGGCGAAGACGATTACACTCAAGATAACACCACCACCACCACCCACGACCAAATGAACACTTCCTTGAACGACCCAGCGGTAGAGGTGAATAATAGCGACCATCTTATAATCGCCCAACTACAACGTCAAGTTAACTTACTGGAGGAGACTCGTCATAACCTGCTGGGGGAGAGGCTCTTAAAAGATCGTCAGGAGGCTGAAGGAGAACTCTCTCAACGTCATAGCCAGTGAGATATACCTATGGAATCAATTTTTTTTCAGACATGAATATATTAGTATTATTTGTTAACATAGAGTAAAGCTTTTTTATACTAACTTTTCACCAAAACAAAGATGACCTTCACAATTATTCAAGAATATATTGTGGCTACGTTCATTATATACAGGTACCAAGGAGTGAAAAGCGTTTGGTAGTCTCATATTATTGTCGTCTCTCTTACAGCCCGCTGTCAGTGAGTGTCCCTCGTTCATCAGCGAGGTAAGTTACAGAACTGAAATAAATCTTGTTCTTGTGTCTGAGTTAACTTTTTTCAGGTAAATTCCCGTACCTGTGTTACCTGTAGCAGAGAACTGAACAGGTACATGAGCTTGTCTTTGTGTGGATGTTTATAATATATGGTTGTTTGTGGTATTACAGGTGAACATTATTATTATTGTGCGAGTGTTACTGCTGACCTCAATTTCTGTTGTTGTGTTTTTGCAATTTGTTCATTTTGTTTTATTTGGGTCACGATTGGTATGTGTGGATATTTTTTTGTTTATCATAATTAAATCTGTCATGTCATTTGTAGACTTCACCATAGTGTATGAGCAAGTGGAGTGTTTCTAGTAAATCTGAATGTTACTTATTATACGTTATCTATTTTGTAAGAGTCTGAATATATGATTCTCAACTCAGAAGTTAGTGCCTTTTAGTACACGTCACAATGTATCGTGATTGTGTATGTATTTCCCTAAGAGTGTATGTTATCTGTAGTACTGTAGTAATATATCTGTTACCTGTCAAGTGTACATGATGATTAAAGTAGTGGTTGTCCTTTATATGGGATGTTCATTACCACGTGGATAGAGTCTGGTATGTGGAGTGTGGTCTTCTTAAGGCACCTGAGTGATGTTTATTATCTCTCAGGCCAATGGATTGTGCTGATCACCTGGTGAACGGTGCTGCCAAGAGTGGAGTCTACAGCATCTACCCCTTCACGTGAGTATTGACCCCCGGAGAACTTATTTATGTGAGTATTGAGCCTTGGGTAACCTGTCCATGTGAGTCTGAAACCATCCCTGGATGCATGGTTCTTGTGAGCAGCCCTGACCTTCCCCTCCTCCCTTATTTAAATAAAATTGTCCCTGGTTCTCTTTTCCTTTCGTCTTTGTAATCAATCTCTAACCCTCTTCTTTGTATGCAACTTCTACCCCATTCTCAGACACCTATGCTGTGTACCGCTCCTTCATTGACAGATTCTAAACATCCTCGACCATTCTTACTTCACAAGTTTGTTAATTACTTAAAACACGTGAGAATAATGATGTTGAAGTTAATTCCTTATTAAGGCTGTGAATGAAGTGATCTATTTACGTATGCACACCTGAGGAATGTTAAAGGGGACCTAATTTGTGCTTACCTGGTGTGTAGGGCGGAGCAGTTTTTTAGGTGGCAAGTGTAAAGGTGTAATGATACAGGTATAGATTGAGTCGCATGTGGTGGCTCTAATGTGGAAATGAAAGGTGAGAGAAGGACAAGAAACGTTTTGCAGGTGTTGAACATGACAGATGTGGTGTTGCAGGTGTTTGTGTAGTAAGCCAGTGAAGGTATGGTGCGACATGGAGACAGACGGAGGTGGATGGACGGTGCTGTTGAACCGCGACAAGAAGATGAAGCAAGTGAACTTTAACCGCAACTGGAAGAATTACAGGGATGGCTTGGCAAAGTTATCGGCGAGTTCTGGCTAGGTAAGTCCTCCCCCACCCCTTACTGTTGTTTTCATCTCCTGGACACACTTCAGGTACCAAATTACCCTCCCACTTCTTCCCGTCATCACGTAATAAATATCTCAAACATTTCAGCACTTGAGATGGATACATGGTTGTAATATTTTGTAATGTATATTGTTTCTTATTGTAGCTATTGTTAGTGACAGTATTCAGGCATTGTGTTTTCTAAGTGTGTGTGTTTGAGTGTGTGTGATTGTGCGTGTGTGTGGTACTCATAGGTAATAAGCCTTAGCACGTCATCCATGTCTACATATTTGTTTCAGGTAACGAGTTGATACATTCAATGACCCGGAGCAGAAACTACCAACTGCGTATGGATGTAAAGATAGGAGTCCAGAGTTATAGATATAGCCTGTGGTCATCTATCGTCGTCGAGAGTGAAGTTCACAAGTGAGGGAATATTGTATCGCTATTGTACTGATTGAAGACATATAGCTTGATATTCTCCTGGTCATGTTGTAAGAGAGTCCTCACAAGACAGAGGGCATTAACTCATGGTCGCTAAACCTTAATAATCTCTTGGTTTGTTACAGGTACAGGCTGAATCTAGGAACCTACCTGAAGGAGAGCACTACCAGACTAAACTGTTTATCTTATGCGAAGTCAAAGTTCTTTTCTACCTTTGATCGAGACCATGACTCAGCGAAAATACGTAAGTTATAAGGTCAGTTAGTAAAATAAAACATATACTTAATTACCTCACACTGAAGGGGTATAAATGATGCCTTAAAAGCCTTATACAGTACGTTGTAACAAGTCTGCTACAATATTTACTTCACCGTGTCATCTGTGTCCTTCATTTCCCACTTTGTCAATACCATATTCATTCCAACACAATATGTGACAAAAATTTTCTTAATCAAATAATGTTTTACTTTGTTTTCAGAAAACTGCGCTGACACGAAGAAAGGTGGTTGGTGGTACAATCGCTGCTCTTCCCACCCGATACCCACAACACCCTTCGGTAAGGGCCAAGTAGCCAGCAGCTGCTTCACCAAGAACACAGTAGAACCCGCCTGGATTCAGCTCAAACTGTCCAGCCATCTGCAGCTCTTCCCTCAAAACCATTTTCTTCAACTCCAATAACTGTGGCGGCTGTCAGAAAAACTAAGTTATCACTTAAGAGAGTGATGGCGTTAAGAACTCTTAAGAGAGAGTCATGTGTGTCATCTAATCCATGCCTAAACTAGACTCAATATCTCCCTCCCTTTATTGATTACATATAACCTAACATCTCCCACCTCTTGAGAACCTCTTGTCCCTAATGCACCTTAACCTCTACCTTGTAAGGATGGCCTTACCTTCAGTAAAACAGTTTTATCAACACTGCAGTAACTCGGCACCGACTTTCCCCTTGATGATGGTCCTCCACCTTGAAGGATATCTTGCCCAGAAGCCTTCTTCAGTCACAGCCCAAAGGTGGACCTGTCTCTCCTTCAGAACCAACCAGCTCTCCAGTAAATAGACTGTCCCACGTCGTCATCTCATCACCGACTTCCTCCATGTCGACGGAATCAAGGGTTTTGTATTCTCTTAACACTTATCTTCGACCCGCCTGCTGGGGGCTACGTCGACCACAGAAATTAAGCAGATTAACAATAGGATTAGTAATCTCAATGTAACCTTTATGCTTTCTCATTTATGGAATTGGTTTACAATATATCCACCTGACAATGTGATCAGTTTCTTTCTCCCACACACACACAGTTCTTCTGGTATGTCCATAACTAGACTCCACTCGAGTGAGGCAACAAACCCAACTGAGTGGTGTCTTATTTAAGCTGTGACATTGTCCAAGTTTTTTCATAGTGAATATGTACATCAAGAACGAACATTAGCACTCCCATCGTTGAGTTATATTACCGATTTACCTGTAGTGAAGTCAACGAGCGTCATAACCCATACGACCGAGTAATCAGATTGATTGTCAAAAAGCATAAACAGTATGTCGATGAACACAAGATTTACTACGTCAAATAAAGGCCTCTTTGTTGACAGGGATTGGTGGACGTAACCCTGCATCACTTTACCCACCGTGAATAATTATACACCCTCCAGACTTGGTATAATCTCTGACGATGCTTTACAACATCCACCACTGCTATATACCACCCGAGTTCGCTCTTCACCATTCAAAGTTCCTATTCACCCAGAGGGGCTTGCTATACCCCCATCCAGATTTGCAATATGCCATTTGCAATTACTATACCTCGTCAAGTATTGTTATACGTCCATTCATAAGGTTATTTTATTTTATTATTTTCTTGAGTAAATAAATCCACTGTGGTAAATCACTAATCACCATTAATTCTAAATTATAGATAAATGTAGACACAGAAAATCGTTATGGCGCCATGGCGGTGTCATCTATATTTCACATTAGTTTCCCCCACAATACTTGCTGAATATCCTTACATTTTCTTTGTAGGAAAATAATTCAGATAACAAAAAATGAATTAATTACATGGGTAACGTCTTCATTTAGAAAGTTGATTTAAATAACCTTAAGAATTTACTGTACAGTATGTGGACATAGAGTGAGAGAAAGATTTATTATTTCGGTATTATTTTAGATTCGGTCATTCGGGAATCTTAAGGAAGAGGGTCACTGTTTTACGCTGTCACTTAATACTTTACGGTGACAGACTCATTTTTGATTCGTAAAGTTAGTTATGATACATGTGTAATACAATCTAATTTATTTATAAACTACTTCACCAGGATTAATGAGATTTACGAGAATCACTGAACTCGTCCCATCCCAGTGAGATTAATCGATGACAACCTATGTTCACCATACTAATAATAATAATAAATAATAATAATAATAATACAGTAATAATAATAATAATAATATTAATAATAATAATAATTCATACATTTTAACAAGTGGATTACATAAATTATACAGTTAAATCCCTGACAAGCGCATTCAACGATGATTTAATACACAAGTCCACCATCCAAGGTCCCACTGGCCGAGGCAGTATTTACAAATCACGATTTCTTGGTGGATATATAAGAAATAATTGTCACAGGTGGTCCATTTCTTTATATTTCCGGTTTCTTCAGTTCATCATCGACTCTGTTGGAGAAATAAAACCCACATTAAATTTTTTCATGTTACTTGAAAATTCAACATCAATCATATACAACCTGTTCTTTTTTTTATGTATTATCCATCTTCATCAAAATATTCTAAATATAATTTTATACAAAGTGAAAACTTACAGGTATATGTTTTAATTTGGGGAGCAAAAGTAACTGGTCGGAAATGGGAGGGACTTTATTGGAACAGTACTATAACTATTTATTACGGACACATTTATTTCAAGTAGACTGACTATTAGGGTGTTTACCTGTGATGGTGTTACCTGTGGTTGTGTTACCTGTGGTACAGGAAGTGTTACCCGTGGTGGTGTTACTCGTGGTGGTGTTACTCGTGGTGGTGTTACCTGTGGTTGGTGTTACCTGTGGTTGGTGTTACCTGTGGTTGGTGTTACCTGTGGTTGGTGTTACCTGTGATGGTGTTACCCGTGGTGGTGTTACCCGTGGTGGTGTTACCCGTGGTGGTGTTACCTGTGGTGGTGTTACCTGTGGTTGGTGCTACCTGTGATGGTGTTACCTGTGATAGTGTTACCTGTGGTGGTGGTGTTATTTGTGGTGATATTACTTATAGTGGTGTGACTTAGCACAATATGCACAAAATGTTCAATTCCACTAAAGCAAAGTATGACCTAACTACTCATGGCGATGCCCTCCTCCACTCATCCAACGGTAACTCCCGAATTGAAGACGAAGAAGGCATTCCTCAGTGCTGGAAAGACCTTACCATCCCCTGCTCAACCGAAACACCGATGTGGATGTCCTTACTACCCAGCAGGTCCCTCACCATTCAGAGCTGACCCACCTCAGCTATCCTCCATCCCTGGATGAGGAAGCTACTGCCATCAAACAGATGAAAGCTAACAAAGCCACATGGCCTGATGGAATCCCAACTAAGGTGTATAAAGCAGTCGGACCTCTTGTTTACCAGCCGTCTCCACTCTCTTCTGTAAAATATATGGGAACAGAAGATGCTATACCTAGTGTGATGTTGTCTACAGTGTTATTTCCCTTCGTTGCACCTTTACTTATGGTGTTATTGTTATCTATAGTGATATTACTTACTGTACTACTACCTAATATGGTGGTGGTGGGTATTACCTTTGTTGGTGTTCCTTCTCCAGGTGAGAGATGGTGTCTGAAAGAGCGACACCCAAAGTCTCGGGTAAGTTGAAAGTAACCAATCCCGTCACCAGCGTCGCTGTTCCAAACACCACCGAGGGCAGCCGGCTATATACCAGCACCTATTTGGGGGAGAGACAACGTATTGGTTATGTCTCTTAATGTCGTGGTTTTATCCTGTGTGTGCTGGGGGATACTGGTGTCGTCAATGTGCTTCTCCTGAACTAAGGAACATCATACGCCTCAAATTCATCGTATTAGAAGCATGACTTACCAGACGCGAACATAAAGTCAATATTTATTAACAAATTAGGAGACACAAAACCCGTATGTATGATTTACCATTATACCCGAGACTTGTACAGTAGTCACGTATTATATAAGATCAAAATTATATGACAACTGAAACCACTACAATTATACCACTAAGAAGGAAAGAAGATTAATAATGCTTCATTTTAAAATTTTCAATAAGTCTCATGATTTTTGGGTCAGGTTTATGCACTGGTTACATAACGTATATTAACAGTGGTAGTATGAAATTACCCATAAGACATAATTGGGATTACGGTTTGGTAAATGTGTTGAAAATATTGGTAATACATTAATATAATTTGATAAATGGCATTTGGTTAAAAAATCACTAGATTCTTGTATTAACCCCTTGAGAACGGTCATACTCAAGGGGTTAAGTCATTGTATTCAAGGGGTTAAGACATCGCACTCAAAAGGTTAAAGAGTAAATTACAATATCATTAGTAATAACAGTAAGAAAATGTAATATTCATGAAATGTTAGTTATTTCTATAGAGGATAAATCAAGTTTGGTTTTACCAGGTATTCGACGATGATGGGAGCCAACATGGTAGCGATACGAGACACCATGAGGCTTGTACCTAGTCCTCTGACTCTCACCTCCGTCGGGAATAACTCTGTCGTGAAATAAATTATGACGGTGAAGGCTGCGTTCACGGCCATTTTCCCTAGCATGACCAGCGTGACCTCCAACCAATCGATCCCTGAAAAAGCACAAAATATGTAAATATTGGTGTCATAATAACCTTTAGCCTCTATTGACCTACTACACTGATTGCAGATGGATGTCTCCTACTGTACATAGAAAGTCGAAATCCTGTGGTAAAAGTGCTGAAGACGTATTTGTGTGTGTACGCGTGTACAAATTATAGTTAATCTATGACAAAATCAGCTTTATTTCACGTATGCTTAACAAGTTTTAATATGAGGGATGACAAACCTGCAGGGAGGAAGGGTGTGATGAGGAGACAAGCGCCGGTGAAGAGAGAACAACAGATTATTATGGCTTTGCGACCGACACGATTTACCAACGGAAAAGCTAGACAGGCAGGCGCTTCCATCACCCCCGATAACGTCATGAAAGAAGATGTCAATCCCGTAGTTCCCTCCACTTATTGTAAGGCCAAAGTACACCAATGCAATGGCGAAATAGTTCAGGTAACAACCACAGGCGATGGTTCGAATCCTACGAGTCCTGTCGGTAAGAAAAGGAAAGTTGTTTTAAAATTGGGAGCTCAAAACATTGCAACAGAGACGGTATATGTTCTATGTAAATTATTTTTAAACCCTGTATCTTGAAACTAAAAATGTCACTGCGACGGCCAATAAAGTTTGTATTATGGTCAGCAGTTTTTATACAACGTGGCCAATAAACAGACGATAGTATGTGTGTACCGTCCAACAGACCCTAGTGAGGGTCCTCGCCACACCACCGCCGCTACTACCCTCCACACACTGCCCCACCTGTGGATATAAACACTGCTTTTAATTTCAAGATATGACACTGATTATAATGACACGGTGTTGATGGCCATAATAATAATAATAATAATAATAATAATAGTGGTAACACAGACACACATACAGCGGAGTCATTCCAATACCTCGCAAACCCCTCATAGGACGAGGTAATCACGAGGTATCTCAGCAGTGGTACACCAATCTCAAGTTGGAGTACAGTTCGGCACCCGAGGTTGGGATGGAGCTCAGGGATCATAAAGACTGGAGTTCTTTAGTTTGTGTTGCTCCCTTTACCGCTGGCTTCAGTCAATACTCCACACTTCTTTTGATAAACTTAAATCTACCGAAATTAAGAAGTTATTATATTTGGCCTCAGGTCGGTATTCTATCTCAAATGGGGCACAAAACCGCCCGCTGCTCTCGGAGGTGAACAGAGAACGGTCACCAGCAGTACTTGAGGTTTACAAGATTAAAATCTGCCCCGCATTCAGGCTAGTTTATTGGGCACCCCCTTGCATCCTGTGCAAGGCGAAGTGCAAAAGCGTTTTCAGCGCCCAGCAGTGTTTCATCGGTCTCAGGAGTCAAACATTTGACTTAGTTGAGGTTCTAACCTTTAAGAAATTGAAGGTGACACCGTGTTGTTTGTAGTACTTTGTCTTCAAATTAAACCGATCAGCTAAGTCTTTGAGAGAGGAGCCAGTGTTATCCATAGAAGCACTACTGTCACACCCACTTAGATCTGAGTCTTGGGAGGCGTGAGATGCAATGTGACCAGGCGAGATGGCAATGGTATCAGTATCAGAGATGTGTGGATCATTGCGAGAGGATGCGCCTCTTTGCGTTTACGTCTCTGGTGATTCCCCATACTGGCAACAAGCGCCGGCAGAGGGGAGTCGAGGATAAAGGTCCTTTGTAAGACGGTCGGTACGATAGGAGCACCTATTGACACGTCCGTCCCCATATGTGGTCAGAGCACAACAAGGTCTCCATGGTGGCCCGCTCACAAACTCTGTGTATAGAGCAGGCTTATACACGCCTCATTACTGACCCGGAGTACAGCGCATTTGTCGTTTTATGTACCTAAGAAGTTTATGGTGATTCATTACCAGGATCTGATTCATCAGTTTGAATCTACTTAGCACAAGAAAGTTACTGCATTAGCAACAACAGTTGGCTGTGACAAGCTCTTTAATTCTGTTATCAACTGCGAAAAGTATAAAATAAATAAATAATTTTAATGCATTAGTTGTTAATACATTACTATCAAACCCTGGTGTGAGTATTGCCCCCATTTATGTCTTCAGTTGTGAGTTACATCTGATTTGTGATATCATGTCGGCTGCCTCTGCTCTTCTCTCTTGGTGCCCACACAACGTAATGGGATTAGAGTATCTGTTATACAAAAACCAACAGGTAGATTTGTGGCACCTGTGAACAGCGTTCTTCCTTGAGACACTGAAGGACGTGGGGAGTGGGAGGAAGGGACACCTTGTTCCAGCGAGCTGCCTTTTGTAGTACCAGCAGCGCCTCCTCGTATCGTCCCTGCACAGCCAGCCATCTCGGGGACTCATCGATGAACCTGAAGCCAAAAAAACTTGTAAAGACATTATATCGATAGTGTGCCTGAGGCAACGAGGAGTACAGTTTAGGGGACTTGCAAGATAGTGGTGCTGTGAGATTGTCAACTGCTGTTAGTGATATACCAAACTGTCTGTTTTCACGTTTTACATTACGAGTTACAAGTTGGTCTATTCTTGAGATTTATCAAATGGCCAATTTTTCTGGTGAGTGTTCTGACGATTACGACCGGAAAATTTCCCTATCATTATAAGTAAATATATCACGAAATCATAATATGACATTTACGACGATGCGTCATGACTTACAGAAATACGAGAAAGAAGGGGAGGCAGGTGAGGGAGGCGGTGAGCTGCAACATCCTCCAGTCCCTCATGAGGTAAGCGAACCCTCCCCACGTGACTAAACCCAGCGACCACGGCATGGTAATGACTAATCCACCTTGCGACCTTGATGTGGGTTCTAACACCTCCATGACTGAAACGAAAAGGGGGCACGAATATAAAAGTATCCTGAGTGACTTACCCAAGCTGACCACACTTTAGCAGTAACTTTATCAGGGTGACGACACTTTAGCAGTAACTTACCCAGGGTGACGACACTTTAGCAGTAACTTACTCAAGGTGACGACACTTTAGCAGTAACTTAATCAGGGTGACGACACTTTAGCAGTAACTTAATCAGGGTGACGACACTTTAGCAGTAACTTACCCAGGGTGACGACACTTTAGCAGTAACTTACTCAAGGTGACGACACTTTAGCAGTAACTTACTCAGGGTGACGACACTTTTGCAGTAACTTAATCAGGTGACGACACATCAGCAGTAACTTACTCAGGGTGACGACACTTTAGCAGTAACTTACTCAAGGTAACGACACTTTAGCAGTAACTTAATCAGAGTGACGACACTTTTGCAGTAACTTACTCAGGGTGTAGGAAGATTGAGTGAAGCTTGGCTGTAGCATACCCAGCAGGAAGCGAGCAAGCAGCAGTACATGGATGTTATTTGCCCAGCAAGACCCGATGGCCAGAACAGTAAACAATGCACTTCCAATGACGATTAAATTCTTCCTGCCGTGCCTGGTGAAGCGTAAAAAATACATTGGAAAGATATAGAACTGGTGTTTATTAATTCGCAAGCAACATGGCTGTCTATTAATTTAGAACTATTAGCTCAGTCTTCACCCTGGGCAGCCAGCTTTATTAGGTGGGGAGGACTGCTTACTACATAGATGTCATGAGCACCATAGTTCAGTCATGCTTGGAAGGCTGAAAATTAGACGAACACTTACACCTGTTCTTCACTTTTGGATCTAAGACCGCTTTAGGTTAGGTTAGGTTAGGTTAGGTTAGGTTAGGTTAGGTTAGGTTAGGTTAGGTTTGGTTTGGTTTGATTAGGCTAGGCTAGGCTAGATCAGTTCAGTTCAGGTTAAGTTAGGTTAGGTCACATCAGGTCAAGTTAGGTTAGGTCATATCAGGTCAAGTTAGGTTAGGTTAGGTCACATCAGGTCAAGTTACGTTAGGTCGGGTTAAGTTAAGTTTTGTATGAAATTATTCATTGATATGTAAACAGACTGAGAGAATATAACGAAGATAAAAAAAAACAGTAATATTTACTTGTCAGACAATAAGCCGCTTAAGGGAGCACCGAAAAAGACGCCGGCCATATACAGTGCTTGATATAAGGCACGGTAGTAGTCCCGCCCGCACGCCAGCTGAAACTATGGTCCACACACACACACACACACACACGCACGCACGCCCATACACACGCATACACATACATTATCAAAATAATATTTCCCTTATTGATGTCCACAATATTTCATACATTTATTAACATGTAAGCAGTTTACTCGTTCGTTCTACAGGAAACAAAATATTAGTTTTGATAATATTCTTTTAAAATCACAAGACTACGTGTGTGTGTGTGTGTGTGTGTGTGTGTGTGTGTGTGTGTGTTAAAAACATTTCAGTAAATTTCTTCCAGTCAATGATGTAAGGACACTTGAGTGAGTGGACATCATAAGCAATATTCAATGGATCGTTGTTCTTCACAGTGGGATTTAGACCTGGGAGGTGACGGTAGAGGTGAAGGTTGAATTGTCAAAGAGCCACTCAGTACAGGTCTCCTCCAGAACTTCCCCTGAGGTAGTGTTCTCCACCAGGTAGGTACACTCAAACCTGCCGAACATTGCCCAGTGAGCTTGGCATAAAAACTAGACTCAAGTTTCTTTTATAAACTTAAATGAAGATCATCAAAATAAAGACGAAATAATTTCATATTAATTTAATTCTGATATGATGTAAATATAATATTATAAACTTACAGATTATCCACAAAACCTTACAAGAATCTGTTAAGAAAATTTTTATAGTCCAAAAGTAAGACAATGATGTAGAGTTATCAACGGTGACGTGCAATATGAGACACAAAACTTACTTTGTGGTGCTGTTCAAGGTGGCAGTGGTGGGGATGATAATTTGGTCGGAGGTGAGAGCATGGGCAGGTGGGAGACAGGTGTAAGACACTATGGGGGCCAGGAAGGCTCCACCCAAGGCATGGTATGACGGCAACAAATACGCTGCCCAAAAGAACATTTGTAATGTTGGACAAGTTTAATCAAATGGGTATGCAGTTTACGCATTATTTAAGCACACTATATACACTCTGGTTTTATTGCAGTAACAAGTAGCCGAACGCCGTACAGGCAGTGAGCTATCGTGCACAGAAGTCCCTTCCACTAACCAGCCACAATCTGAATATGAATGACCTGAGAATGAATCGGTGAAGCAGCTGAAAGAAGTGCCTTGATGGCCCAGCATAGCCATAGACTGTGTCCTGTGGTTGGTGGTGGGGAACTACCCCGGCATAACGGGGCATTCTACAGCTTGATGTGCATTCTAGTGCGGATCGTTGTTGTGTGGTGTTGAGTGAGGCTCATAGTGTGTTATATAGATTGATTCCCGTAAATGTTGAAGATCTCACTAATGCCGAAAATTCTTAGTTCCCATAAAACAGCTTCTTACAACCTAAGGATATATTATTAAAACTAGCTGTGGGAGGAGAACTTACAGTACGAGAGTGTCACCATGTAGAATATATTCCACCTGCCCGTTCCAAGATGGGTGAGCAGCTCGTCGAATTTTTTACCCATTGTGCTGCTTCAAACAAATCCTGGTGATGATAAAGTTATTACATTAGATTGAAACTGAAGGAACCATAAACTCATTTCTCATATTTTCGTGACCCCTCCTATTTATTGCCACACTCCCCTTGCCCACTCACAACCACAGTCCTCCCGGTCACTCCCAAACAGTCCCCCTGATCATGGTCACTCTTCACGGCTAAGGTCTCTTATGAACAGAATGTGAAGTTCGAAATGCTACACATCTCTATCCCTCCATCCCTCTTCCTCCCTCCATCCCTCTTCCTCCCTCCATCCCTCTTCCTCCCTCCATTCCTTCACATGTAGGCTAAATGATGTATTTGGGAGGTTAATCATGTGTATTATTGGGTGTCCCATCGTGGTCGTGCTTTTTTTTTTTTTTTTTTTCGGTTTTGAGCAACGTACATGTCTGGATTCGGTTATGGCTGGGTGTTCGCTGAGGCCAATTTCTCATACCTCACTCCTAACTTGTTATTGTTATGTGTGCCAACAATTTTATGATTAAAATTTTGTCATGCAGGTGTATGTCATGTAAAAATTCGTAAAAATTATCGGAGTGTTGTGGTGGTGGAATACCTAAGTCCAATCACCCAGCCTTACCTCAACCCTGACTTCGGCGAACACCCAGTAATCATATTTTGTCTTTCCGCCACATCAACATATACTCACGCACGCTCGTAAACAAAGACATAACACACTCATACATATATACAGTATTAACGAATCCTTGGGCCGGGTGTTGATTAAAACTCCGGGCATAAGACCTTTCAAGCATGTCAAGAGGAGGAGTCGAAAGATACAGTTGGTCCTCTAAACTTCAAAAGGATCAAAACAACCTGGCTCGGGAAGACAGCAGATGTCCTCAAATATAAATAAATACTGTACATGAGTGTTCACGTAAGATACACTGGATAACGTGCCAGTTGCCCCAACTTTGTCCTACAATGCTGTTCAAAATTTTGGTGTTGCATATTGACACCAAAAATACCCACGTGCAATTTTTTGAAGATTCATGCATATTTGAGTGAGCACCAGCAATTTGAAAAATAGCGATTTTGCTTATACGTCATACGCGCCTATATATGAGATTACATAACCATCATAAGGGATATTAACACAAATCATTTGCCTGTCTTAATTAAAAGCTGTTATCACTAACACAAAAAAGTTAATCGTTCTTATTCTCTCATGGTACATTAAGGGGTTTTATCATAGATTCACAAGGTATTATTTCTCTAGAGCAAGAAACCATGATTTCTGTTGGGAACAGATGATCGTTTGCGCTGATTAGGAACGCGGAGTCTGTCATTTTCAACTACTTGAAGGACTTCTTGAAAGCACTCCTCATCCCTGGCAACATTAAGAAAGTCATGGCAAAGTTTTACACCACGCTCTGCAGCCCCATTGACGACCTGAAGCTTGTCCACAACCTGTTTCATGTTCAGGTAGTCGTCATGATCCGCCCATTCACTGGCTGGACTGTGGAGAAACTGATAGGCATGCCTAAAATGGTGAAGAACCGGCTTGAGTCAGGCCCAATTTGGTCCACCTGGGCAGTGCCACTTTCTGGGACAGGGGAAGATATGGCTTTCCATAGCCCCATGATTGAGCCCCACTCTTAGTAACTTCAGTGCCTTCATGGCAAAGAAGGGCCTTCTCATCTCCTCTTTTTGTCCTTTCTTGTACTTGGGACGAGAACAAAGCCAGTGGGGCCAACTCCTCAGTTAGGTGCCAAGTGTGCTACCGAGTGCCACACGTGCTTTGTCAACTATTGTGGCGTCATATGGCAAATTCAGCCAAGGTTTCCACCAAATTCAAGTCATTCAGTGGTGCACTTGCTGGAACAGGGCAAACAATCCATCATGGGACATAAACAGCGACTGTGAACACACCAAACCGTTCTAACTTGCTGATTTGACTTTGTCACAACCTCGGCTTTGGGAAACTGCTCTTGATCTGGCCTGACAAAAGAACAATCTTGAGGGTATAGAGCAGTTTAGCCATCCACCTTGCTTTGTGAAGTGCGCCGGGGTAGACCATCGTGGAGTTCACTGGCTCGGATCCCTTAGCTACAAGCAGCAGCACAGCTCTACCAGCTCCTTGTAGTCGCCACGTGTAAATGGTTGGGCAGAGATTCACGGAAGAAGTCAGCCATCTCCTGCTGGCGCTCCTCAAACACCCAGGCATTGCGGGTAGTAGTAGTATTTTTTCATTGTACGCCAGTTGAGAGAAATGAGTATTGAACCTAGAAATGCAATTATTGGATCATTGTATTTGGTACTAATTTATAATATTGTTTTAGGGGTATTAAGATGGATATGATCGATCATTTGCTTGGTGTTAGTATATCTTATAAGTCTAATAAAAAGAAATTCCACTAAATTTGCTCATTAGATAATAATATTCCTTGTTATTTTAAAGCCGACGGTGCTAGCTCAAACATGCACCGATCTCCAAGAAAATTTACAGGGTGTTTCCTAGATAAATACACAACACTAAAATTTGAACAGCAATGTAGGACCTTTTTTTTTGAGGCAACGGTCACACCTAGCCAGTACCTGGGAGAAAGATTACCCAAAACAAAATTGCCAGGAATCGTCGGGACACAGACCAAGGTGATAAAGGAGGTGGGAGAGGAGACGTTTTTTCTACTCATACCAGAAATAAAAAAAAGCCAAGGAATTTGGAAATCAGCCCACGTTACCTCTATAAATAAGAGGCATAGAATAAATGTAGTTAATCATTTGTGGCATGGATTAATTCACAGCACGATCCGACAACACCAGACTCGTGTCACCCTATCATGAAAATGTCCACCAAATAGTAAACAACCACCTACATGTTGTTTATTTTATTTCCTAATTTGCTGGAGAAGTTGGCTTTATCGTCGGAATTGTCCTGTGTGTGTGTGTGTGTGTGTGTGTGTGTGTGTGTGTGTGTGTGTGTGTGTGTGTGTGTGTGTGTGTGTGTGTGTGTGTGTGTGTGTGTGTGTGTGTGTGTGTGTGTGTGTGTGTGTGTGTGTGTGTGTGTGTGTGTGTGTGTGTGTGTGTGTGTGTGTGTGTGTGTGTGTGTGTGTGTGTGTGTGTGTGTGTGTGTGTGTGTGTGTGTGTGTGTGTGTGTGTGTGTGTGTGTGTGTGTGTGTGTGTGTGTGTGTGTGTGTGTGTGTGTGTGTGTGTGTGTGTGTGTGTGTGTGTGTGTGTGTGTGTGTGTGTGTGTGTGTGTGTGTGTGTGTGTGTGTGTGTGTGTGTGTGTGTGTGTGTGTGTGTGTGTGTGTGTGTGTGTGTGTGTGTGTGTGTGTGTGTGTGTGTGTGTGTGTGTGTGTGTGTGTGTGTGTGTTTTGTAATGGTCAGCATGCTCGCCTTGCAAGCGAGTGGACCCGGGTCCGATCCCCGGGCAGGGTCAAACTATGGGCAAGTTTCTTTCCGCCTTTTGCCTTTGTCTACCCAACAGTAATCGGGAACCTGGATTTTAATCGATTTGCGATTCGTGTTCCGGGGTAATAGTTAGCCATTGCAGTTGGCGAGTTGTCCGGTCTTCTCGGACTGTTGCTTGACACTGGGTCATGCAACTCGTTAACTTAAGGTGTGGTTGTTGTGTTGGCGATATCTTGTATACCTTAAACAAATTCACGCCTAGGTGGCCCTAGGTCCTGCCATCGTCGATACACGAGGTGCAACCATTATTGTTATTATTATTACCTATGTGGGGAGCATGCTCACCTGAAATCATCTTCCAGTCAGGTGTAACTTGTTATTACAAAACACCTGGGGGAGAGGGGATATTGTTTTTTTACTACACAGCCGGGAATTCGAAGTCGTGTTGCTGCATCCACTCTCTCTAGGATACACTATCGGGGAAGTGTTGCATCAAGAATCAGTCGTACACTGGTTTAATTTGGTTTTGCACCGGTGACAGTCAACACGTAATTATTGTAATATCATCCGCACAGTGTGGTTTATGTATAGAGGGAGGAGGTCATGCATGTGTGTAGGGGCGCGGGGGGTTATCATGTGTGTAGGGGCGCGGGGGGTTATCATGTGTGTAGGGGCGCGGGGGGTTATCCTTGTGCCCTCAACTCTCCTGACTGGACACCCACACCCATTAAGGTCATCCCCCCTACCAAAAAAAATCAAAAGTACTGACACAATCCTTCTGGATACTGACACGAGTAGGTGTCCTGAGAGAAGAACCTCCCTTGAGGCAAAAGAAACTGTCCAGATATTATTGACATGGCTGCCATAAGTGAGTCTTGGCTCCCAGACAATTCAAACAGAACAGAAATCCGGTTAAAATCAGCTGTACCTTCTTCTGGGAGGGTCAGACCGCTATAGTGCAAAATCGCAGTTACGTACATGGCTTTATCATTCGACACTCCATCTTGCACAGACTGAAATGCCTGATGAGGTGAACGAGCTCCCCAAAAAAAATTTAAGTCCTTCTCTGTGACTCGCATCAAACTTCCAATAAAAGTTGGCTAAACAAATATTGCTAAAATTCTTATTCATTTTACACAAAATTAAATATACATCACGTTTACACTCACGAAAATTAAAAATAACAATATAAGATGCACACAGATGGTGCCAGTACTTACGGACCTCGAAATGTTACATCAACTAGTAGTCCTTGGGTATCCAGAGTGAGAATGACCACTGACCAGAGACTGACTTGGATGACTGCCAAATATGAGGTAACTCTACGCTTGCGTCGATCAGGGAACACTGAAGCACCATTTTTTAACCAGGATTTACCCACCCGGGCACAGCTCACTGAACCGCATCTGGGCCTTGAGGGGCGAAATAATAATAATAATAATAATAAATAAATAAAAAAGTTATAAAAAAAATCAAGAGTGAGAAACAATAAACAATATGTAGTGTATGTTGTAAGAGAAACAATTGAGACCCTGCAATCGTGTAGTCACATTTTTTGTGATGCCGTATGACAATAAGGTTACCATTAAACACACTATGATCCAACCTATATATTATATTTACAATAAATAATAAATTACTGAAAACAATGATTACAAAAATCTTAAATAATTTCAAAACCCTCTGATAAATAACAGATATGAAAAACTGTTAATTAAATGTGAATCTATTCCATCACTTGTGTGTGGTTGTACGTGAATTGTAAACACACACTTAAGAGGAGGAGGTTTTCTATATCGGGTGATTTCTTCACTTTATTTCTTAATTCTCTCTTTAACTTCACAAGGTTGTTCTTTCTTCTTTCTTTTCTACTAGCTTCTCTATTTTCTGTTCTGTTACTTTTCTTTTATCAAGCTAGTTATATTCTGACCTAGGACTTCCCTGGGAACCCCTTGTTATGTTACAATCTTAAATACTCACGGTAGCTTCCAGCACCTAGGTTTTTATCTAAGAACTTACTGTATAATATAAAATTAATCACTGACAGCATTGCTGGGGTTATACAGGGTGGTATGAATGCATTTATCCCATCTTCTACCAAAACTTTTACTTTACAATCATGGTTTGATCGCTCCTGTTCTCTTGCATGTAGGGCAATATCAGGCTATGAAACTATCTCCTTCTATTACCCACTCCTCTTTCATTACTTCTGGGAATCGTTGTAAGTCTATTCTTCGTAGGGCCAAGCGGAATTTCATAAAAAGAAAGACCACTGTGTTGACTAACTCTTCTAATAGTAAATCCCTCTGGTCCTTAACCAAAAACATCTGTAACAACTTTTGCACTCCCTCTTTTCCTCCTCTCTTCCGACCTGATAACTCTATAGCCAACTCTGCCCCTGATGAAGCCATTCTCTTTGGCTTCTTATTCTCCTCGAATTCCACCTTAGATGATTCCGACTCTATCCTTCCTACTCCTCCTATTGAACCTATGCACTTTCCTACCACTCATGGGGTTGCTGGTTATCCGGGTTGAATATAAGGCGCATGGACCGACGCTCTGGGCGCGTGCGTACCTATTTTGGTGAGAAGCTGGGCGTCACTAAGCTGCGATGCCTCGCATCTTTCACTAAACTAGGCCTACAGTTTCCAATCTTTAATTTTCACTTTGATATTATTCTTGTTCTCACATATACATTTTCCTATCTATTGTGACCTTATTCCTTATAATTATATATCTTAATCCTAAATTACATACTAAAGTAAGGGTCTGGTTTGCTGGTTCAACTCGGCACTGTAGGAATTCGTGGTATAATGTGTCTAGCACTCAGGATGGATGGAAACTCTAAGGTGGTTTTCTTGTATAATACATAAAGTTATATGATAGACAGTCTGGTGCTGGGGAATTGCCGTGTGTGAGGCTGCTCAGCTCAGAGAGCGTTACATTGAGTAGCGTGTTGAAGAGGTAGATGTGCAGGAGCTTCGTTAGAAGATGTTGCCTGTTGCTCTGGCCTCCTGGTTGAATGAATGCTGACAGCGTGGAGCTTTACTGGAGGGAGGTGTTGCTTGTTCAGAAAGAAGACCAGAATGAGAGCTGGTTGGTGAGGAAGCTCAGAGGACGCTGGTGGGTGCCATGCTCGCTGGCGGGAGCGAGGACCGCCAGCAGGCAGGTGGAGGCGAGGGCCGCCCGGGCAGCAGCGGAGGAGGAGGTGTTGCGTGTTGCTGAAGAGGTAGAATGAATCTCAATGGAGATGACTTATATACCTTGTACCAGGTCCTCTATGTGTCATGTTGGGAAAAACCGAAAGTCGCCGGTCTCTAGTTCGTTGCTGGGTTACCGTAACATCTGGTGTCGCGTTGGAATGCGGATCGCGGTTAATAGAGGAGAGATCCACTAATACTCCCCCTTCCCTCCAGGCGGTGTAGGAGACTTGTTGTCTGTAGAGTTGCTTAGCATGTAAGAGGCAGACCGGGCGGTGCATACCTCATGTGGGGAACAACGACGATGGCGAATGAGCCGATCGCTGAAACTCACAACTGTCTGAATACACACTATCTGGAAGGGAGAAAAAAAGGAATGTGGAGGCGTGAATGTTGTGCTTCCCTCACGGCAGGGCTGGGGTCGTCAGATGCGCCTGCTGGAGTGTGTGGAGCCTGGGTCAGGAGCAGGGGCTGCGTCAGCAGCCAGTTAGGGCTCGTAGCAGCAGCTGGGTCCATGACAGCAGCAGGGTGCAGGACATTAGCAGGGGTACCTGAGGGAGAAAGAGGGTGTGGAGGCGATGAATGTTGTGCTTCCCTCATGACAGGTACAGGGTCGTCAGATGCGCCTGCTGGGTGTGGGCCGTGCGGGGTGAGGCTGCGTCATGAAAGCGGATTAGGGCTCGTGACAGCAGCTGGGTCCATGACACCAGCAGGGTGCAAGACGATAGCAAGGGTACCTGAGGAGAAAGGGGTGTGGAGGCGGTGAATGTTGTGCTTCCCTCACGGCAGGGGGGTTACTGCTGGGCCGGGGTCGGCGTCAGGAGCCAGGACAGGTGTGCTGGGGTCGTCAGGATGTGGTGCTTGGGGCAGGAAAGGAGCTGGTGTCTGCTTAGAGTAACAGAGCACAACTGTGGATAAGCCAGTCTTCCAAAATAACCTTGAAGACTGGGGCGTGATCAGTGTATCCTCCATCACCTGTGTGAGTGCTAATCTCGAGAGTCACCATTTGTAGGAATTCGTGGTATAATGTGTCTAGCACTCAGGATGGATGGAAACTCTATTTTCTTGTAGCCTAAGTTATATGATGATAGACAGTCTGGTGCTGGAGGGTGCCGTGTGGTGAAAAACTGCTCAGTAGAGACGTTGGTGATGAAAGCGTGTTGAAGAGAGAGTAGATGTGCAGGAGCTTCGTTAGAGAAGATGTTTACCTGTTGCTGGCCTCCTGGTTGAATGAATGCTGACAGCGTGGAGCTTGCTGGAGGAGGTGTTGCTTGTTCAAGAAGAGACCAGAATGAGAGCTGGTTGGTGCAGGAAGCTCCAGAAGGACAGCTGGTGGGTCGCCATGCTCGCTGGCGGGAGGCGAGACCGCCAGGCAGGTGGAGGAGAGGCGAGGGCACGCCAGGCAGCGTGGAGGAGGAGGTGTTGCGCGTGTTGTTGTAGAGAGGCTAGGAATGAATCTCAATGGAGGGCAAACATATACCCAGCAGCGCCAGGGGTCTCTATAGTCATGTTGGAAGCCGAGAAAGTCGCCGGTCTCTAGTTCCGTTGCTAGGTTACCGTAACATCTGGTGTCGCATTGGAGTCATGATTGCAGTTGTAAGGGAAAGTCCACTACAGCACGCACCTTAGCCCGGGCGTCAGAGCCACCCAACAAAAGCCTAGAGGTCGTATTTTCATGGCGTGGGTATACAAGATATTCTCTTTGAAGTATAGTTTCTGGATCACTTCCACTACTTCACATAGGTCTGATACATTTATCTTTTTTTCCAGATCATTGTTCTTTTATATTTGCATCTGATACCTGCGGTAGCTATGTTCACTAATCGTTCACAGACTTAAATAGTATGACCTTCAGACACGATCTACATTTATCCTTTATAGTACACTAGTCCGTATCAATTGGGGCTTCCCAATCATCCTATAGATACCTTGGATTCTCCTTAATGCTATAAGTATATACATACACTTAATGTTACATGACCGTACCTTGGTACAATTCGTCTAAAACATACAGTAGGTGAGTTATCCTTTACCAAAGTTTCCCGTTTTCTGTGACTCTACAAGCGCGGTGGATTTGAATGTTATGTAGCGTAATATGAATTGAAGAGATATTAAGGATGACAATGATGTGCGCAGTACAACATGAACCATGCGGCAGTCGACAAAGTTGAGAACAAAAAAACATAAATTCAAAGCATGGGTTAGGTCAAACGATAAGCAGGACAGAAGGATATATGCAAGATCCAGGAACTAAGCAAAGTCTGAGTGTAGGAGGACAGAAAAGGAGTTCCAGAGGCTGATTGCAAGTGAGGTCAAATCAAAACCAAAGGCATTTTACCGTTATGCAAAATCGAAATTAAAACTCGAGTAGGAGTAACGGACCTCAGGCTTGAAGATGGTAGTTACACAGATTCTGACCAGGACAAAGCAGAGGCATTGAACAGTTTCTTTTCCTCGGTGTTCACAAGAGAGGATGCGAACAAACTTCCTGCGTTTGAGGACAGACGGTTCGACACAGCACTGACCCACATTGTACAGTATACACAGAAGAGGTTATACAAAATAAATTGTCAAAGCTAAAGGTTCATAAGAGTCCCAGCCCTGACATGGTGAATCCCAGAGTGCTAAGAGAGTTGTGCAATGAGCTTGCCGAGCTTCTGAAGATCCTATTCTGTAAACTTGTCAGAGAGTGTTGTGACGGCGAGTGTGAACTCTTTCAAGACCAGACTTGACCAACACTGGAGCAGGTTCAGGTATGTTCAGGAGCCGGTGCATGCCCAGTACTTGCCAACAGTGCGTAACAGAAACAAACCGATCAGTGGTGAAGAGGATAAAAGTAAAAGTAAAAAAGTATTACTCTCCACACTTGGGGATATATGTAACTCTGGCCCACACACAGTTACCCCGATTCCACGAGTCAGTGATAAAACAAGGACTAGTCGTCTGCTCTCAAGTTATCTTACTACTTTTACTAACACTTAATAGTGTAGTGGAATCCTCCCCCACAAACGCCGTTTGTCGCTGACTAGCCGACCCTCGAATTCTCCAGCCTGCGCCTCCCTCGTGGTCAAGGTCAGCAACCAGCGCCGCCTACATAACGGAGGTCAACTATCAAGCCACGCCTACCTCCGCTATATAAGACCTCACCTCGTGGTGACCTCTCTCTTTCTACCTACAGCCACCAGCAAGCAACACCTCCTCCTCCGCTCCTGCCTGGTGGCCCTCGCTTCCTCGCGACTATGCCGCCCTACAAGCTGCGTGTTCTCCTCTGAGCACCTCACCAACCAGTTCTCTCTACATCACGCTACCACGCTGCCACCCCCCAGCACCAAGCTGCATTGTACATCCAATACAATATGTATACAGAGAACACATTGTGAGTTTCCTTTCTCCATCCCATCCTGAGTGTGAACCAATATCTCGTACCCCACAATAGCACTTCTTAAATACTCGTCACAAGATTGTTCGTGTACAGTAATCATTATTACTAAACACTTGGGGGGTAAAGGTTACTCTGGCCCACACACAGTTATATTACGACTCCACTCATCAGTGTATAACCTTGCCTCTCGTTACGTAACAATTTCATACATTTTTAGACTCTTCAAATCACAGGATACATCGGTATTCATTTACCAGGTGTAAATCAGATTCCCGGAGACAGCAATTTCGGATACATACAAGACGTTACCACCACCAAGAACACCATGTGTTTTGTATACAAACAAAAGCTAAGCATAGACACTCCGTGATGTGGTGGCTGGGTTCCGCCTCGTCCTTGGGTTTAAGCCATACCTCCCAGACATAACCGCATTCCTGTAGGCTCATCACTCATGTCGGTTCCATGAATTCAAGATTTAATCCTGACGAATTAAAGACCTCTGCAGTGGAATTCTCCCCTACAAACGCTGTTTGTCGCTGCCTAGCCGACCCCACCAATTCCCCAGTGTATGCCTCATGGTCTAGGTCAACCAGCGCCGCCATACACCACGGAGCGGGGGTCAACTGCTAAGCCACGCCTACCCCGCCTATTTAAGACCTGACCTCGTGGTGATCTCCCTCTTTCTACCTACAGCCGCAGCCAGCAACACCTCCTCCTCCGCCGCTGCCTGCCCTCGCTTCCTCCTCCGCCTGCCTGGGTCCTCTCTCCATGCAGCATAGCGACCCACAAGCTGTCCTTCTCTGAGCGTCCTCACCAACCAGCCTTCTACATCACGCTTGTAACCATGCTGCCTTCCCAGCACCAAGCTGCATTGTACATCCAATACAACATGTATATAGAGAGCACATTGTGAGTTTCCTATCTCCATCCCATCCTGAGTGTGAACCAAACAATCTCATACCCCACACCTCCTTCATAAGACATCCTCTTGGCTACACGCCTCCCGGCAACTCCAGCAACCCACACAGTGCCTGGATGATGAGTGATGTGTTCAGAGTGAATAAAATAGAATCAAAACATGATTGTCACAAAATAACTCTTTCATAGGGAAACAGATGACACACAAACAGAATTACGTTAACACACAAGACTTCAATTACGTTAACAGGAACACCGACATATTTAACACAATTCAACTTAGTCAAATTCACTTAATATGATGATGAGACACAGTAACATAACTGGATGACCGAGAATGTGTTCAGACCGAACGATTCAATCTCCTCACTCCCTTTTTATGCCCCCGAGATATTAGTTAGGAATTTTGCAGACATATTTATCGGTCTCATTTACTGTACACATTGACTTAAGAAAATTAGGCTATGAGCTTATATTAATTTTCTAAGACTAACATTTATAATCCAATCAGTGTTTGAGCTTTGCAATGCAAGAATTCAATTGATGTCAAGTGCCCAGGTTGGCAATCAAATTGTGGGCAGAGCTTCTGACCACAATATCCGTTTTGTCCACGGGTATAAGTTACATTTCAAAGTTTTCTTCAGTCGACAAGTTTTGCTGACAAGATTAATGAGAATCTTAAATACAAAACTGAAATAATTTAAATACTCCCATGAGACTCTCTGAGGTCTGTATATCAAGGAAATCCAACTTCAGTTGTGAATGGTCATCTCATAGCTTCATACAAAACATAAACTGATTCCAGATGGTGGCTGGACATTCAAAACACATCGTCTTAACACAAATTACTCTACACGCAAAGGTTGATGAAGCTTTCAACATATACTCAATACCTCTTGAATGCTTTATCTCAGTGTAGGTATATCTGACTTATGGCTACTCATAAAGGTTATAGCATAACTTTTAATTTACATTACAGAAGTGTACTTCAGGACTTTGAGAAAACGGATGGCACCTCTCACTAGGGAAAACAAGTCTCTTCCTAGGAGTAATTCATGAGTTTCACACATGTTTTGCACACACACACATTCTTTATCTAGAAAGTTCTCTCTCATAATTGTTAAATGATGTTAAACTAGTGTCATTACTAACCATGTTACACAAAGGCTTCGGTTGCAGTATCTTGAGATACTGCATTCAGTGGATTAGAAATGAAGGCTCAAAGACTATAGCATTGCAATCCTACATAAGAATGTGGTGGTACCTGAGTTAGCTTCAACCAAGGCTGGAATATCAACAAATGTAGCATTTATTTTCTTTATGCTGTAAACATATATTACTCACCGGTTTTATAATTCTTTCAATATTACATTGACAGTACTATGACCTATAAGTTCTGGTAAGAGGATGTATGTATGTACTGTACAAAATTATTTCTTTAAAAATCACCACAAATCATTCTTACTAATTTCAGTACAAAAAAGACCTGTCACCGCTTCATCAGGGACACATTTTTATCAATATACAGTGAAAAAGAGTAATTATAGATTGAAATTAGTCAATATTAAACAAAATAAGCATTAACAACAGCTGATGTTCGGCTGTTAGAATAATAATAACTCATACTGTACAATGCACTTCCCAGTAAATCATTCATTACTACAGTTTCTATAATTATTTAATGCAATCTTACAATAATATCTTGTATAATCATTTAATGCATTCTTGCAATAATTACATGTTTATTGTTTAAAGATCCTACAATCAGTAAAAATGTGTGTAGAGTACAGGGGGGTACCCAGATTATGAATGTGTTCCGTTTGTAAGTCGGATCTGTGCGTAAATCAGAACACATATATGCATACCGTACTTACAAAACAATGTTTCAAATCCCACTATATCATAGCCTAAGTTCTTATATACATCTAAAATCACATAATTTAAGACAAAAGAAGAAATAGAATGACAATATACAGTAAAGTAAAAATTAGTCATTGTCGTATATAAAATACAGTACAGTGGTCCCTCGGTTAACGAACTCAATCCGTTCCAGCAGGTTGTTAAACTGAAAAGTTCGTTAACCGAAACCATTGTTTCAATGGGTTTTTGGGTAATTGGTTCCAGCTCACCGAAAATTTCCTAAATTCAACAAAAATGGTAGAAAAGTTCACTTACTTTGAGGTGTGTATGCAGAAGGCTCCTTGATGATGATGATGATGGGAATTAGAATGTGAGGAGAAGGAAGAAGAGAAGGCATTGAGGTGGAAGAGAAGTCACCCCATGGCACCATTTCACCCATAAAATTTTAGTTCTCTTGGTGTATTTCAAGATTATTTTCTTTAAATCAACACTGCACTGCATTATATATTGTCAATATGTAAAATATATTTCAAATGACCAATAATTTGCTTGGAAACAGAAAAAATGCATTTAGTTGAAGAGTCTCAAGCAAGATGTTACCTCCACTGAAAACAGAGATGCGCCTGTCTGGTGTGTTAACAGGCTGGATGGCATGAAACTAGTTTCTTTCCTTCAATTATGCTCAATAATTGTTAAAATGACTAAAAAGTTAAACTTTTTAAAATTATTGAATAGTATAAACTTCTTGATATTTACTAAAATAGTAAGAATTTAAGCCCTAAAACCGATTACTGTATTGGCGGACTGATACTAAAGCTGGTTGCCCGGCCAGTGTGAAAACATGTTGAGGTCGGTTCGTAAGAAATTCGTTAACCGAATTGAAGATTCTTATGGAAGGCAGTTCATTAACCGAAATTTCGTTAACCGAGGCGTTCGTTAACCGAGGGATCGCTGTACTGTAAATTTCAAGTTTAACCCCGTTCATTATTGGTGGGTGTTCTTAAGGCTGGGACCTCCTGGACTGTATATGCACATGCTGGTTAGTTGATGGGTGGTGGTAGTGGTGGTAGGTAGGTCAGTTGATAAACAGCCATCAGATGGAGATGATACATAAGCCTTTCAAATGTACAGTATTTTATACTGTTTTGTACTTCATTTATATTGGTACATACTTCACTTATTTTTATGTGTTATAAATGTTTCTACAAAAACTTCTTCTGGGAGACATGGTTGTAAGAACAAATCGTTTGATGACAAATGTATGGACAAAAAATATCATACTATCCTGTGTACAGGGTGTATTGTATTTAATGTGTATTTAATAGAAGTTACACCACACACATTCTGAAAATTAATTAGATGAAATAATCTCTAGGATATTCAAACCAACCAGTTTAAAAATAACAAAACTTTTATTTTATCTTGCAATGAACTTCACAGTTCTTTTATTCCTCGACCGACCACTCCCCAGTCTTCCTGAGGCATTCTGTATGTCATGTTATCCATACGAATAACCTCAATACCAGCTCCGTAGTAACTTATGACATAGTGTGAGCCATCAGCGGGCCCAACTGTCTGTGTGGCAATGAGAATTATGTCGATAAGTTGTCCTAGGAAGAGGAATCCCAGGGTACAGAATTTGGCCAAACCAACAGCGTAGTAGCCAAGGTATATACGATCTACTCCAAACATCCCAAGAAATACGGACAGGAGCAACGCCGTTTCATAAGAATAACCATTTGTATACCTGCAAGTGTAAAAAAATTATTATTAAATTTTAATCTATTTGGTTTTCATATTGTACAATTACCCATTAGTAAAAACAGAAGAACACTGTAAATGGAGTTTTGTGTCAGGGAAGTACAGTACAGTATATACTATATACAGTATGTGAATGCATGTGAACATATACAGTCAACAAATGAGCATAGGCCAAAGACGAGCATGTGTTCATGAATACAGTGCAGTAAACCTCTTATTTAGTGGACTATATGGAGAGCATATTCCATTGTATCGAGGATCTGTTAGATATAAAACCGAGGTCCTATAGATGTAAAACCGAGGTCCTATAGATGTAAAACACTCATCTAATGGATTATATGAAGAGAAAAGTCCGTTATATGGAGATTTCTCTGTACAGTCAATTCCTGAATATTGTTAAGGTTACATTCTTAGACAACCTACAGTTAACTGAATCACAAATTTGATACTCCATTCTGAAAGTCACAAAAGTTATTGGAATTTGTAGTGATTCTGAAATGTAATTTGTAATATATTTTCTATTTTAAGCACATTTGTTTTCACTAATTAATACATATAAAATGTAAATAACAGTAGATTTAATTAAGGTTGTTGAGATCAATTTGAAAAAAGTCAAAGAAGGTACAATTCCAACATAGGTCACCCAAAAAAGTACAGAGTAAAAATATGCAAGGTAAATTAAGTACTGTATATAAATCATGAGAAACAAATTAACTGGTTTTCCTTTTAAATATAATACAGTAAATAAATGTAGATCTACAACATGATGTTACAAAAAAATGTTTTAACAATCAAAACCTGCATAGAGAAAGCTGAGAGGGAGTTGTTTGTCACAACAGCCTGCGACAAACACTTGCAAGGTAAAAAAACATGAACAGGATGTATTCTCAGATAGCGTTAACCAGGGCAACTCAGACTGGCAAATGACAAACATTTTGATGACTCCTTTATTTTTCATTTGATTTTGCAGATATTTATATGGTATCATACCTATGTACAGCTACTTACTGAATTATAATGAGAGTTATGTGGTCTAATTCACTTGCAGTTACGGGGCAAAACTGGACCAGCACTGGGGCGAATGTGAACCAGTCACAGAATTCCTATAAAATTTTGTTTTCTTGATCTTTTTATTTTTTTGTTTTACACCTTATAAAACATCTTTCCTGTCTATTTACACTACTGTACAAAAAAAATTTTTTCAATATTTTTATTTATTTATTTTACTGTAATATTTCTGCAATTCCGCAAATTTTCATGAGTGTTTCCCAATTACTGTGTCCATCACTTGTTCGTGCTCGTTTGAGAAAAAATAAAATAAATTCATTACACTATTGGGGGTCCCTGGGTTATGAATGGTTCCCGTTCCTGAGGACGTTCTTAAATCTGATTTGTACGGAAGTCGGAACACGTGCTACGTACATACCATACTTATAGAACGATGTTTAAAACCCCACTATATCATAGCCTAAGTCCTTATATACATCTAAAATCACTTAATTTAAGACAAAATAAGAAAAAGAATGACAAAATACAGTAATGAAAGTAAAAAATAAGTCATCAGGTAAATAAAACACTGTAAATTTTAAGTTTAACCCATTTGTATCGGCAGGCGTTCGAAAGTTGAACGTTTGTAAGTTGGGGACCTCCTGTAGTCTAGTGTGGCTTAGAAATAAAGAAAATATAATATAAAACTATAAAATAATATAAATTAAGAGCATGGGTGTGTATGTGTATGGAGTGAGCCGAGATAGACCTTTCCCTCCACTTATATCTCTCTCCTCACCAACCAGCCCAGCCGGTGTTACCTGCATCACCTCTCCCACATTTGCTGGCCTTTTATACTCCTTTATTGAGACAGCATCATCATCTATCTCTACACATAACCCTCTGGATTTCCACACTTAGAGTATTTTATACTTTCTCAGACCCCGATTAAAAAACTATACAATGATGTTACTAATTTACAAGTAAAGTAGATCAAGTGACTCTACATCTGACCAACTTACTTGCAAGGAATTTCACGTTCAAAAGTCCCATTGTTTGTTTCTGTGCAAATGATCCCGGGGGCTGAGGTACACAGAACTTTAGCCCAACCCTCTTTTGTGCATCCTCGAGGTTGTTGTGTCCTGGGGTCTATGTTCACTTCAGTACACAGATATTGGCCAGGTTGCAAGGAGGAACAATTGGTGAAGTATTCCCCACATACTCCACCAACCATAAACAATGCCAGCAAAGAACATATGATGTACTGCTTGTAGCGGTGGCTGGAGATGCCTCCCTTGAGATATTTTTGTAAAATTCTCATCTCATTGATGCTCTGCAACCATAGAGAGGTTGTTAACCAAGAAGTCTATCCATCATAAGCTTCAAGAAAGAGTCTTAGTGCTGCAAGCTGGAACAAACTGAAAGAATAAAGTTGGGAATAAAAGAAATGTTTTTCACCTAATTATCTATTCAAGTTTTCTTGTATCAAAACAAGATTTTTTTCTTAATTGTCAGAGAAAAGACAAGAAAATGTATATAATAACAACAAAAACATTTATTCACTGGTTACCGAGTGATTCCAGGACAATTTATGCAAAAACAAAAAAAGGTATATTCCACTATACCCTCTTTGAGTTTTCTGTAACTTATTGTACAGCATTGTCTTTACCATAAACAATATCTGAAAATTTAGCTCAATCCAAGTCATAGTTACAAAATTACTACCAGTGACTAATTTTTTTTTTTAGGGGGAGAGTTGCACAGTCAAAGATAAAAATCTCAACACCTTGAGATCAAGCAATGTACAGTACTGTACATGCTTGTATATCTAAGACTTACATACTTTTGAGTGTTTTGAGTCTATTGTAGATTTATATAAACAAATAATTTAAAATCTTGGTCACTACAGGAGCTTGGAGAATAATTCTAAGTTATCTGAAAGGTATCTTGATACAGAGACCCAAAAAAAAAACATCCAGGTGCACACGAATGGTAAAGTATTACCCTGGAAAGTTTCAAGCTGAAATAAAGGACAAGAATGGTAAACCTCCCCTTCTTCAACATTTACTTCCATAAGTAGTACAGGAATTATGGTGGGTACAGCTTTTCTCAAACAAACCATTCCTGAACTGTTTACAGTACCCAATTTACAAAGCTTCAGTTTGTGTAAATTCAAAGTAAATAACAAAATACAGTATTTACCCATGCTTTGATTTATGTACGAAAACCCTAAAGTTATGAAATAAATGTTGCCATTTTTTTTTTCGTCAATACAGGTGCTCCTGTACTTAGGTGCACCTGCATATAGGAAAACATACTGTACAGTACTGTACTTCACTTTAATTTATGAAACATCGATCTACGAAAGATTTTTCAGGAATGGAACTTTTGGGTAAATCATGAAATATCTGTACTTTATCCTTTCCAACACTTGATGACTTCCTACACAGTGTTATTTTGGGTAAAAGTTACATCATCATCCTGTTAGAAGGAGCCACTTTAGGAAATAATTGTATAGAAGAAAACGTATTTCTTACATCTCTAATATTAATAAAATGGCAGAGGAATAGTAGCTGAGACCGATTTACCATGAATAAGATAAAATAAACGACCCAACATTAGCTACCTAACCTCCTACCATACCTATCATAGGATGGAAGTGCCTTATTTTAGGTTAGGTAGGTTGGTTGGTTAGGGTGTTATTTTGGTAAAGATTCGTTTTATGACATAACGAGAGTTTCATGATGGAAATAGGTTTTTCTTATATTTTTCATGGTGATTTGAACAAAATTCGTTCACTGAATATCACCTTTATTTCCGTGGCTTATGCTTTTTTTTTATTAGATATGACCCAATAAACACCAACAGAACCTTTGAAAACCCTACCTAACATATCCTAACCTATAACTGTATTATATCTTATTTTACCTTATTTATCTGATGGACGCACATAAATCGATACCCTGTACTGTGAACCAGATTTCATACACAACCAAAAGTGCTTATATCAGTTGGATCTCATCCGGAGAAAAAGACGGTACAAGAATGGACTTTAAGTTCACTAAACAAAAATACAACGAAACAAAAAAAGATCACTTTCTCCTCCGCCGTTAGTTAAATAATACAAGTTTAGCTTTGTATAGGATTAAGAATTTCCGAGGTAAAGTTTGTTTTTTAACTCCACATTTTCTCCTCATCTTCAAATCTCTGCCCACTTTATGCAAATTATATGAATTAATCAAGGAAAAAAGGTCATATTCATTCCATTCAGCCTGAAAAACATAAACCTATTTCTGTTGTCATTCCCGTTATGGCATAAAACAAATCTTTACCATTATTTTTGTTAACAGTTCATATCGAAAGTTTGATGGGAAGTGTTCAGTTGCTTTTAAGTCAAGCTCTCTCGCTAGCATGTATGTCAACAATTTATCCATAAACGTGGTATCTATGCACTGACCCAGCATATTTACACAATAAAAACTTAATTAAAAAATGTATTAAAGTTGTAATTCCTCCAACCTTCTTTGGGTATATGGGAAGTAAGAAACAAGTTTTCTTTTATAGAATTTGTCCTAAAAAGGCTCCTTCTAACAGGACTTTGTTGTAAACGATTACCAACCTTTTTTGCGAAAAGCTCGTATGAAAAGTTCACCGGGAAACATTCGCTTGTTTAGCATTAGGATGCCTTGCTGGGACTCATGTCAACATTGAATATAAAATTTGCACATGTACAGGCCATATTTACTCAATAAAACTTAAAAAACACAATAGTTGGAAAGTTACAATTCCCCCACTTTTTTGGGGGGTAATTTTTAAGATGTAGGGAACAAGTTCTCTTCATATAATAAATCTTAAAGCTCTTGATGCTTGCGTGTTGTAAACAATTACCATATTTCATTTAAAAAATCCCAAAACTCATTATCTTTATTGACGTCGCTGTTCTATACATTTCCAAAGTAATTTAATGAACCAATTTAGGTTATCGTCACGTTATCATGCAGAACGATTATAAGGAAATACTTGTTCACACACAGGGTGGTAGACCTATAGCACGATCTATCAGCCCAAGCTGTGGAATGAACAGTAGTACTGGACTTTAAAATAGCCTTTGACCAAATTATCAAGAACAATGGGGGGGGGGGGATCCTACACAGGCCATGGCCCACTTCCCCCGGCATGGCCATCTCTAGTAGATGGCCATTAGGTAAATAAGGTAAATATAGCGTTAAGAATGAGTACAAACTATCCTCTAGCATCATCTCCCTTTAAATAAACATTAACATTATAGTAACAGGTGACGTCAGGGAATGGATAATAACAGATATGTACTCACTTTAAACACTGTACATCAGCTGTTGTTGTTATGGCAGCGAACACCACCTGTCACCATCCCTCCTCACACCAAGCTAGTTTGGCCAACACACTTGCCAGCAAATCTCGTAGTCGCTCTCTCGAACAAGGTTTCCAAGCATACTGTATTCCAGTGCGACCCCAAGTTATTATTAAATGTCACACATACGCACACAGGATAGAGAGAGATAGAGCACACCATCCCACTATAACTCAACATATTTAACCAGTCGCCAACCGAACATTTCATCACCAAGACACAACATCACGAATTTTCTTTTCATCCATCATTTCACCACATAAACACTGAACTCTGAAAAGAGCTGAATACTGCTTACTAAATAAATAAAACAACGATATTCATTCCTAGTTGTAAGATTATCCACAATAGTATTGGCTTGAGGAATATAAACGTGAGTGTGTGTTGAATCAGCTCTTCTGGTGGTTTTGTCAGACACATCGACTGTGATTGGTATAGACCATATTTCATATCTAACATGTGTACGTAATTGTTATTTTTATACCTGGGGTATATGAGGTTAAGCAACATAACATACAATGTCTAAGCTGAAGTTTGACATACAGTTTGGGTAATATTTTTTTTATAAACACTATTGACGAGAAGCTGCCTCACAGACAGTGCTTCCAAATTGTACCAGGGCCATGTTGTTTTCGTCCTTTAATTAGAGGACCAACAGTATCCTTGTTTTCATTTTACTCCTGGCATACGCATAAAAGGAATTGGGATCTTTCTTAATATTTTGGGGTAATTTCATCTCGAAATGCCGTTTGGCTGATCTAATTTCCTGATTGGCAACATTTAGGGCTCTTTCGTCTTTCGTTTTCTACAGCAGGATGCCCTGCGCTCCGATACTTTTACTTTTATCCTCTTCGCCACTGATCGGCTTGTTAGCCGCCCGGGCGATCGGTCACGTCTCTTTTCCTTTATATTCTTCACCAAAAGGTCGGCTCGCTAGCCGCCCGGGCGATCGGTCACGTCTCTGTCACGCACTGTTGGCAAATACTGGGCATGCACCGGCTCCTGAATGTACCTGAACCCGCTCCAGTGTTGGTCAAGTCTTCTCTTGAAAGAGCTCACACTCGGTGCCGTCACAACACTCTCTGGTAGATTGTTCCAAGAGTTTACAACCCTCACTCCGAAAAAGTTTGCCCTCACGGTTTTCCGGACTTGCGGCTTCTTCAATCTTGAGCTGTGACCCCTTGTGGGGCGAGCGTCCGCCAGCTCCAAGTAAGGACACTCAACTGAGTAGTGCCCCCTGAGATGCTTATAAACCTCAAACCTCAACTAGGTCCCCCCATCTGTTATTCATCCACCTGATCTTATTCCCTCTTCTCTTTGTTTTTCTGGGGTATACAGTACATTCCTCTACTGTTAACCCAACCATTTTCATGAAGTTTTGCATTGACTCGTCTATGTCTGCCTCCTCTCTAACGATTTCCTTCCCAATTAATTATCTTTAGTTTGCCAAATGTCACGCATGAGCTCGTAATCTCCATGGTTGAAGTCATAGTATTCCTCCTCAACTACTTTCTCTCGACTATCAACGACTGTATTCCATCTTAGTATGAAGTGGTCGCTGGTCGGAGTAGTTCTTCCCTGACTTGGACCTCGTCCACCAATAGCCTCCTCAGTCGCTAATACCAAATCTGGAATGTTGTCTCCACTCGTGGAGGCGGACCAACATTTTAGCTTAAGGTCCGCGTAGGTAACATTCCTACAAATCTAAACAAATAAAAAAAAAATCCCCTCGTGGGTTCCGACACGTGTTGTGTGAGGTATGAGTGTTGAATGAGATCAAGAAATTCTTCTCCTTCGGTTTGTGTGGTAAGAGTCACCCCAGTCTATTGTCGTATGATTAAAATCTCATGATAGGGCTTATGTTCTGGATGCTGCCTGGATGACTCTATGGAGATCTGCTACAATATACATACAGGTATATGAGCTTCTTTGGGGCGACATTAAAATTATACCGTCTTTTGTAGTAAACAACACTATCTTTACATTTATAAACGTCATTGGTAAGTGATAGCTAACATGAGACATAAAACTTGGCCAGGAACAGAGTCCTCTTGAACCAGTTGTCTTAATTACTACAGTAGTTTTTAGCTAACATTAGCCATCATAGGTGAGGACCTTGACCACGACTTGTTACAAAGTAAGCGGGTTAATAATAACGCTTATCATGGAGGCCAAAATTATTGCAAGTTGGTTACTTGATATCCCACTGAAGCAACTATTTATCATATGCAGTCCAACTTCAAGACGATGGCTTGCTGGGTAGCTTAGTCATTTGTGCTGTTCATTGCCGGACTACAAGCAACTAAAGAGGAGAATAAACACAAGTACTGGTATCAGAAGAAAATGACTATATCATTGCATACAAGAGATAAGACGTATCACCTCAAAGATTCTTGGTTTGAGTCTAATACGCAGTTTGCTCTGGCCGAGACAGCAAGCACTACCTCCTCCTCTACGGCAATTCAAACTGTTGTAACCTTCCAGCTATTTTCTGCGAGAAACCAAGTGAGTTCTCTGATCAACCACTGATGTTTCCTGAGTAAAAGCCAGGTTACTTTTTGACCAGTTATCATGTCCCCTCACCAGGATCAGTGGACTTTTCTAACCATTCGCTGACGCTTCCTCACCAAAACCAGATGAGTTTCCCAATTAGTTACTGCTGTTGCTATACAATAATGATCATAATTATACAGTACTGTGTTCCCGCACGTCAAGTACTTGTCTTCCTATCATCCAGATAACGTTCATGAGTGTCTTATTCGTGGTCTTTATAAACACCTTTTGATTCTCTCTCACATACACCCTGATCCTCTCACACCCCCTGATCCTCTCACACCCCCTGATCCTCTCACACCCCCTGATCCTCTCACACGTCACATCACCTCTTTACATTACCTATAGCCTGAATCACATCCTATTGTTATGGTCTTTTACGAATTTCTGTCAGGTAACTTTTGTGTAAACCGTAATTAGTATTTAAAATATCAAAATGAATGCTAGTGGTTTAGAATAAAGTTTCCTTGCGCCCTTTTACCATGACTATTATTGTTAGTTGACTCTAGGAGGTTTAATTCATACAATATACACTGAGTTCTATTTTCTGAAGTTGTTTACGTCTTGGCAATTGTGTTATGGACGATACTGTGTGTGTGTGTGTGTGTGTGTGTGTGTGTGTGTGTGTGTGTGTGTGTGTGTGTGTGTGTGTGTGTGTGTGTGTGTGTGTGTGTTTGAAATAATAAATCTTCTTTATACTCATTTAAAGCAACAACTTTTACGCTATAGTCAACAAGTGGTATTATACTACTGTATTTGTTTATCGTATTCATTATAGATAGTCTTTAATTATGTTCCAGACTTTCCAGGTGAATACTGCAGTTGAAGGAGAAATCGTAAACGTATCAAACTACAATACTCTGTGATAAAATTTCTGATAACTGTCCCTTGCCAACTTTTACCTAATCTAACTTAACTTAACTCAAGCAAAATTAAACAACGTTACACCGAGAATCATGAAGTTATAGCACAAGTTTGGAGTCTTTCTTGTGTTATTTTTCACCAATAATTTTCAAACAAACAATTTTTGTCTTTATTTTCCGTCGAGATGTATTGTGGCAATTTGTGGGCATTACAGTCAGCGTTGTATCATTGAAGACGTCGTGAGTGCTGTTCACCTCCGCACTGTTCAAACACGAGTGCTGCTCAATCTACAGTCATAACTATAAATATGTTCCAAATAATTTAATACTATTATAATGGAAATGTGGGACCTGTATATTCTTTTAGTCTTAATTTCTGCACAAATGATGACAAATCTCAATGTTAGTTTATTTTTAATGATGAGTAAATGGTCCTTTTTGTTTATTGAAGGATGAGTTACCACCTAAACTACGATATGCTGTAATAGATCTTATCTGTGTATGATTTTTTACAACAATGCTGATTATATACTTGAGTGCTGCCCGGCCGAAGTTACATGCAGTAGATATTATACAATATTAGGTTAGGTTAGATGTCCTATAACCATTGTCGGGGTTTCTGAATGAGATTGGTCACGTATGAATTCTCGACATATGTAAGGGAATTTAATTTGCTTAGTGTTTTGTTATGCACCTGAATTAAATCTATCTAGACTTCTTTAGGGGACATTTGATAGATTTCTATATGTAATTTGTCCTAGTCAAAGACTCCAGCAAATTAATAGACCACTAAAATGCGCCAGATGAACATAGTATTGAACGGAGCCGGGAGAGCCAACGCGACAGTTGAAGATAGAGGGAATTCAGAAACTATCATTTACTGGATATGCTGATAGTCAACAGATGAAGCGATTAAATATTTTGAAGGGTTTAACACCGAGTCAGTTACTGAACAACTGGAGACCAAAAAAAAAAAAAAATATAGCATTGAAGGTACAGTACAGTAGAATTAAAGTTACATATTATACTGTATATAGCCCATGGCTGATATACTTCCTCACCATGACCCAATAAAAATGCCGGGTTGGTTTCACAGTGATATGACTTGGTACACCTTCAACACAATGTCCCAGTAACGCACAAGTAGTGACAATATTAATGGTGGTAGTAGATCCCTCAGATAAATGTTTGATCTCCAGATGAGAAGACACCACATTGGAATTACCGAGTTACGAACCTTTAGTGATGGCAGTCTATCTCACAAATGGAGTACATAATAAACCTAGTATTCACAAAAGGTAAGATAATGCTTGTAAAACCAATGATAATTCTTAAATTGTTATTGGCGGCAGTCCTCCGAGCAGCTAGACTGATTAGAAAGATATCAAGAAAAGTATTATATATCTTAAATCACGTAGATGAAATTAGAAGTTAAGTCCCTCATACTAACTCATGATATTCCTGGTGATCTCATTAAGGCCAAACCAACTGCTGAAAATTTCCTTGTGGTGGGAAAGGCTTCTGGCTCACCCACTAGGTAAACTGGACAGGGGACAAATCGTTTGGTGAGATACAGATAAGGTAAAGATTACAAAAGACAAACATTGATCTTTGTTCGGGGTGATTCTAAAGTATGTATAAATTGGAAGAAATTGGGCAGCTATAATGAGGCAGTTCGAATCACAACATCAGTGATTCGATATAAGTACCGAATCACAATGGGTCAGGGTTCGGCTTTGATTACCAACCCATTAGTTACGTTAGCACACTTAAAGTGACTTTATTTCCATAGAATCTTGAGAGTTTTGTCTGCCAATGTTCGATCTTAATAATGTTTTTATATTCGCCAATTTCCTTCATTTACATATAAAAGTAAACTAGTAGACTTATATCATCAATTGCTCTTTTATAATTCATCAATTCAAATGTTTTAAAGAATATTACGACCAACATCATTACGGTAAACTTAACTCTTACTATTTACAGCTTATAGTGACATGCATCTTACAATATTGTTGAAATCGAAAGCATAGCGACATAAGCAGTAATATTCGAAAAATTACAATTGTCTTACCTTTTGTAATGTTATTTCTCAAGACTACAACAAGCGGTAAAGACAAGGCCTCACCCAGTACTAAACGACCTTGCTGTGACGTCTGTAAATCTCAACATTAGTGAGTGGACACAACTTAAGCTCCTCCACACCTCTGTCACAACAACCTCTACTACACCATTCTGAAACATGGTAAGTCGGGCCGGTACTAGCTACTTCTTAAGCCAAATTAAAGTTGACACTACTATTATCTTTCGTTCCTTGTACCAGTGTTGTGTGTTGGGTTGACAGTATATTCCTTGTACTAGCGTTGCGTGAAGCTAACAGTATATTCCTTGTACCAGTGTTGTGTGTTGGGTTGACAGTATATTCCTTGTACTAGTGTTGTCATATCTTGGATGCTTTCGAACATTTTGTTAAGTGAACGACGCTGGTTTCATGACCCAGAAAACATTATCACTGACGCGTGTACTTGATTTGATGTTGTGATGGACCATTATGGAGTAAGCTCAATTAAGGGCTTGGCAAGGACAAAACATACAAAACCTCACCATCGGCCAATTGAAAGTGTTGTGAGTTGTTTTATCTTGCTGTACCTGATCTAAAACATGATTGTTCTCTCACTCTTTTTTCTCTTCGTTATCAAGCCATTCAGTTACAGTTCTACTTGTTTCCACGTGTTTTTAGCTTTCTTATATACTGTATGTACTCTCTCGATGCTGGCTTACCTTTGAATGCCTTCATTTGTTTTCTTTTTTTTTTTTCATTTCTGATGTTATGTATAAATCGTAGGCATTTATTTTGTACTGTTTGTAATTTATTGATTCTTGTGTCACTAAATGCCTTGATTGGTACAGACGTGTAGAACATTACTGTGTATAGTTTGGTTTTGTTTTATTTGTTTAAGTTTTTGAAAATCTTGTTTTTTTTTTAAAGTTTGTTTTGTAACTTCTTGGTTTTTTTCTTTAAGTTTTTGGTCCTAATATGTGGCCTTTATTGGCGTATGGGTATATCTCTCTTTTTTGTTTGGCGATTGGTATGAGTTTAAATTTATTTATGTTTTTTTTTTTCTTCCATTTCTTTTCGTAGTCGTTTGTTCTTTATTTCTTGTGCTGTATAGCGTTCCATCATTGCTTCTGACTTCCCTGGATATGATATGTGATGTCGTCAGTGAAGATGATGTTTTCGCTATGTTGAAAGCGTTCTGATAGGTTGCTTGTATATAGTTATAGAGAATAGTATTGGGGACAGAACGCCCCCATAGGCACACCACTTTCTAAGGAGGGTTGGTCCTAATATTGTCTGACACTTCCTCTCGGAGAACAAAAACAACCATATGAGTTGTTACTTCATGTGGCGCTTCCTTGAAAGAAGCCTTCAGTAGTGTAACATCGTCTTGCATTACACAGTGTCTTACAGGACAACACCATTTAGTGTTTTAACGCCCTCTTATATAATCTCCCCCAAAGAACAACGACGACTCTCAGTGGTGCAGCTTCCTACATTGCTACATTCTTCCACAGGATCTTAATCTGCTGGAGTGTAAGGTTTGCTACAACAGATTTGATGATGTTCGTCGACCACGTACTCTACCCTGTGGCCACACCTTCTGTACTTGTTGTCTTACTGAAACCATCAAGGTTGGCAGTTCTCACTGTCCAAGCTGTCGCATCCAACACAGGTCCTCTGCTGTGACGGATTTTCCTATCAACTTCATGGCCGAGGCTTTTATGAAATCTCTGGGAAAAGTTGAAACCTCGACAAAAAGAGAAAAAAGACACCAAGTTAATGTCACTGTTAGGGGAATCAGTAGGAGACTTAAAGAATTAAAAATCGAACAAGAAAACATCGTCCGCACGTTGATTGGTAACTGTCTACAAACAAAATCTCAGATGAACAAATACGAGACCTACATAATCATATGGAAGGAGGAAGTTAATGAGATTATTACTCAGTTTGGTGCTATGACAAATGAAACACTGAAGAACTTAGAAGAAGAACACTCCAGACTGACGAGGTTGGAACAAGAAGGAGATGAAGATGTGAAACAGTTGGAAGCCATCTTGGGGACACTGGATAAGGCCACCAGTTCTCAAGAGGCTGGTGCTGCTATTGATGAGACTGAGAACTACGTTGCTGCGGCACAGAACTGGAACACTAAGTGTCAAGAATGCTTCCCAAGTGTCAACACTATCCATACTACCTTTAAGGTAAGCGAAAACATTAGTATACAACTTGATAAATATCTAGTGACGTAAAATATACCTAGTACAGGCCTAAAAATGTTTCCCCCTAACCTGAATGCAATGTTTAACTGTTCCGTACATCTCTTCACACATATGTATACTTCCACTCACCCATTAAAAAACCAGATGCATAATATCACAGAAGTTATTGAAATGTCATTACTTCTCGGCATAAAATATAAGAATATGTTGTGATAAGGAAAATTAAAATCAGCAAGTGAGATAAAATAGCATACACAGGAAATATAACTCCAAGAGGCAGGACAAGTTATAGAGGAGTGAGTTAAGTTACCTCCTTTAAAATTAAGTATGATATTGGCTGGTCCTGTACTCAACATTCCTTAAATACACTAAATTTGTCACTTGTTTTATATCATTGTTGTCTATCATGATCATTGGTTTAGGGTTTATTTTGAGTTATTTCACTTCTGTTCTATTCTCCTCCAAATCATTCCTCTGACAATACTGTAAATCTTTTATAAGCTTCAACTTTATTTTTTTTTATTTCTGCCTCTATTTTAAATTTTCCTAAATCCCATTCGACTTTATCCAGTATTTTTATTTTTAATTTCTGAAGTTTTTGACTAACTGGAACATGTTGTAACCCATAGTCTATATTTCTTAAGTTCCTGGGTCTCTTCTCATTAATCCTTGACTCTATTATTTACACTGTGGTATCCTGGGTTGGTGGGGAGTATTTTCATATATAAAGATACTTCGGGTGATTTTGAAACAGTGTATTTGCAATTATCATTTTTCTTTCCTCGCAAAAGTCAATTAATTTTCTTTTTCATTTTATTACCCAACCCTTGTGGAAGTCAAATAAACGATACTCGTTATGCTGTGATAAATAAAAAAAAATCTGGTCTGCTCATTCTACAGATGTGAGTATATAAGAACACATTAAGAGATATTATTTTAGTCCACCGATAACCTTCTTCTGTTAACAGTTAAGGGAGATTATGAAGATGCTAGAGAGAATGGGCTCGATCACTGCGACAGATACCCTCCCACAATTTGATGCTACATCCAGTATCCAGGAAAAGGTTGATAAGATTATAGGAAACATGTCTTTTGTTGTGCACGAAGAACCTCCACAGCAAACAGTGGAGCAGCTACCGAACACACGACTTACTGTGAGTTGAAGTTGTTTGACTATTCCAGCAAAGTACAAAACCATATCACTATTTTCATATTGAGTGTCAGGTTTAAATACAGTAAAGTAATTACGGTAAAGTAATAATTCTTAAGGTTCAGACGCCTTTGGAAGTATTATTACGGGAGACGTATGTAGTGGTCGAAAGGAATGACTGAAATTAAGAGCACCTGTGCCTGAAGCCAGATGTTCCCTTAATGTAAGGTAACTGTCCAATTCATACCACACAACAAATCAAATACCGGGTAATTTGACCTTTCTTATACGTAGTGCCCTGTGCAGGCCTAAGATGAATGTAGGTCAGTGTGGGCATCATTGTCCTTCAGATGACACACTGCTATGTGTACTTCTGTTCCATTATAATGTTAAAAAATGGTCAACACAGGTAAATTTCAAGTATTTACTTGGCAGATTGATAGTTTACGCTCCGGGGCAAGATCTGTAAACACCTTGCTGAGGAATGGTCAGGTGTTGGCTATACAGGAGGGTGAAGAGCTCAGCTCAGCTAAGATTTCACTGGCAGGCGAGAAGATGTGCCTGCACCATCTGCAGAAGATTCCTCTGCCCCCTGATGCTCACATTGTTATGGTTAGTTCATCCAAAACACTGTGTTTCTACCTTGTATTCACAATGTTCCCTTGAAGCCAATTTAAGGATATCTTACATTTTAATTTCCGTCACGCTTTGCACCTTCAAAACTCCTCCATACATGGTAACACTCTGGTGCATCATCTGATCATCAGATCTTCTCACGCGGATGTGAATAAATAATGTGCAGCCAGACACAGTGCCTCACATTGATGTAATGAAGCAGTTGTGAACAAGTCACCCTTTGTGTACAGAACTAAACAATGTATTTGAAATGCTCTGTAACATTTAATACTACACTAACCTGACTACTGGAGTCTGATAAACACCCTTTGTGATCTCTACTCTGTAATCCTTCTACGCTATAGTTCAAAGGATGAGTATGGGGCGCACAATAAACTAGTCGCTGTATTTGGCAAATTAAAAAAAAAAATCAAATCCACGGTACAAAACCAGCCTTCACCCTACAGTATAAAATAACACCCTCCCCCACCCCCCTACAGCATTGTTGAACTGTCTTATAACACTGACAGTAACATATGTCATTGGTTAGTCATTTACAGAGTGAATATACAGTTATACTTTATTACAGCACAGCCAATTGATGAAGGCGATAGACCTCTCCTCTGCCACGGTGTTCCTCGACTTGGCATGGGATGGCATGAATAAAGGCCGACTCCACATCCGGCTGTTATCCGCTCATTCTTTCGAGTGGATCCGTCAATTCGTGGCCATGTGTACGGGAGAGTGGGGACCTTCTTATGTTAACTCGCACTTTGTTGAGCTAGAAAAAGGTTGTAAATGGGAGCGTGTTGTGGCTGGCGATTATGAGTACAACAATGGGAAAGGAGGAGCTGCCATAAAACGTGGCTTGGTTTTGTCTGATTGGGAGGGCTTGTATTCTGTCGGAACTGTAGCTGCGAGATGGTGGGGAAGTGACGCTACAGCAACACAATTCGTCATCTACACCAAAGCCATGTCAGAAGAATCACACCCACTTATCATCGGTAATGTTGTGAGTGGTATGCCTCTTCTTAAGTTAGCAGTCAGTCTCAGCGATGTTACCCAGGTTCTCGTGATTGACAGTGGCATTGTTCTTTCATTCTAACTGTACTAACTGGTATTTACTGTCATAGGCTAAGTGTGATGATAGTAATGTGTCAATGGCTGTTGGTGATGTATAGTGAAGTATAGTGATAGCTGTGATGAGGTATGGTGATGGTGACTGTTGGTAATTGTAATGGTTAGTAAGAAATAGTGGTGATAATGTTCTGTGTTGTTGATGGCGGTGATGAGGTGCGGGGACTGTGGTGATGATGGTGATGATGACTCTCATTGCCTGTCACTGTTGTGGTACCATCATCATCATCATCACACTGTCACCTCTCTTTTCGCAGCTATTTCATTTATCATCGTAATGAAAGCATATCAAAACTCACACCTAAGTTACAAACTCCATTTTTTACTATAAATATTAACACCATTATCACCATTAACACGATTGTCACCATTATTATTACTTATTGTAAAGACCTTTAACACAAACCATAATTGCCTTGGTCATTTCACCATACAGCATCAGATCATACACTATCTTCACTGTTGACACCATCATACACTATCTTCACTGTTGACACCATCATACACTATCTTCGCTGTTGACACCATCATACACTATCTTCGCTGTTGACACCATCATACACTATCTTCGCTGTTGACACCATCATACACTATCTTCGCTGTTGATCACCATGTCTGACACCATCATACTGTTGACACCATCATACACCACACCATCATACACTATCTTCGCTGTTGACACCATCATACACTATCTTCGCTGTTGACACCATCATACACTATCTTCGCTGTTGACACCATCATACACTATCTTCGCTGTTGACACCATCATACACTATCTTCACTGTTGACACCATCATACACTAACTTCACTGCTGACACCATCATACACTATCTTCGCTGTTGACACCATCATACACTATCTTCGCTGTTGACACCATCATACACTAACTTCACTGCTGACACCATCATACACTAACTTCACTGCTGACACCATCATGCACTAACTTCACTGCTGACACCATCATACACTAACTTCACTGCTGACACCATCATACACTAACTTCACTGCTGACACCATCATACACTAACTTCACTGCTGACACCATCATACACTAACTTCACTGCTGACACCATCATACACTAACTTCACTGCTGACACCATCATACATTAACTTCACTGCTGACACCATCATACATTAACTTGACACCACTGCTGACACCATCATACACTAACTTCACTGCTGACACCATCATACACTAACTTCACTGCTGACACCATCATACACTAACTTCACTGCTGACACCATCATACACTAACTTCACTGCTGACACCATCATACACTAACTTCACTGCTGACACCATCATACACTAACTTCACTGCTGACACCATCATACACTAACTTCACTGCTGACACCATCATACACTAACTTCACTGCTGACACCATCATACACTAATTTAACCTAACCTATGATAAGACATTGTTAACTTGAGACCCTCATTAACCTTCGTATATTACCTAGTGAATGTGTACACAAAATATAATTGCTATTTTGAATGATTTAGGTTAGGTTTGGTTTGGTTTGGTTAGGTTAGGTTAGGTTAGGTTAGGTTAGGTTAGGTTAGGTTAGGTTAGGTTAGGTTTGGTTTGGTTAGGTTAGGTTAGGTTAGGGTAGTTTAGGCTATCATAGGTTAGGTTAGGGTAGGTTAGGTTAAGACTTATAACCTAGAAAAAATGTGTAATACAAATTTTAGTTGGCTGGACAGATGGACATGTTACTGTAATGCTCCATCCAACTTGGCTTAAAGGATAATAAAAATGTATATATGAATAAAAAAATAAACATATGTAAGAATCTTTAATTTTTCTCTTTGATGCAGTTGTATCGGTCGTCTTTATTCCATTCTCCAGTACCAGACTGAGAGCCAGGCTAATTTTGCATGTTTTCCTTCTCCGCTAATACGGGAGGACACAAATTTCTTGCTATGGGTTGAAATTTTGATTGTGGTAGTAGTGGTGGTGGTTTATGGTGTATCAGACACTTGGGGTTGTTATACACTTAATATATGTTGTTATACATTTATTATATGATGTATCAGACACACTTGGGGTTATTACGAGGAACACATAAGGATGCAGCTCCCAATATACTTAGAGGTATGCTTGACTTTGGGTCAGCTCCCACTTAGAGCCCTGAAGATTATTTCCCGCACAAATCATTCATTTCAACATTCATATATATATTAAAATCTTAATACAGGTTTGTAAGAAATGCCTACTAAAGTTTTTCCGAATTAAAATCATAATTTAACATTACCTATTTCTCCTTTCTGACTGCACCATCAAAATAGTTAACAATGTTTCAAATGGCAAAGAAAACTACTATGAACTGCTTAAGCAATTTGTGTAAAATAATTCCACAGAAAATTACTCACTGCTACAGTAGAACAGATCGTTGCAATGGTGTGAGTGATTATGGAGTTGGTACGACAGTGATGAGTCAATATAGTCATGCTTTAATACAAGTGAGTCATAACGATGATGATTCACTATAAACTAGCGGTGAGTCATGAGTGACGAGCCACCATAGAGCGAGGTGAGTCATTACAGTGAGTGGTGAGTCACTAAGAATGATTCTAGATATAAGTCAATACGGAGATGAATTACTCCACAAGGGAGGCGAGAGTCTAAGCTGGTGGACTCAGAACGGCAGGACAACACCGCAGTCCACCACAGTCACATTGGTAATATCACTTAGCTTCACTGTTGACTGGACTACCTCCAGACCACTCACTACCTCACCAAACATCAGTGGGTGTGAATCTTCTGAAGTGACTCTCGTGTAGATGATGAACTGTGCTGCTGTGTCGTCACTTCCCCACCACAACCCCGCCACCGTCCCCCTGGAGTACAACCCCTCGTACTTGGTCATCCCTACCTCAGGATGTACTGCCGCTCCTCCCTTTCCATTGTTGTGTTCGTAGTCACCCGTTACCACTCGCTCCCAAAATGAACCTCTCTCCACTACAAGAAATCTCGTGTTGACATAGGAAGGGCCCCGCTGTCCAGTACACAGGGCCAGGAAGTGTTGGGCTCGCTGGCAGCAGTCGGTGGGATACAGACGGATGTAGACTCTTCCCTTTGAGTTTGGCCAAGCCAGGTCAAGGAACACCACGGTGGATTCAGGGTCCAACACCTTCATCACCGTGTTGTGCTGTGGTAAATAATGTTATGCTGATTCATCAATGCAATTTAAGTTAATTCAATTTTAACTCACTTTCCTAATTCTCCAACAATTTAATATGAAAAAAGTTCCATATTGGTGTTGTAGGGTGTGGGAAGGTGGGGAATAGTTTTGTTGGATTGTAAGTCCCGATGACAAAAACTTGGTGATTGGCTGGTGATTACATCCCTGGTAACTGGTGGTGGTTGGTAATATAAGAGTAACTGGTACTAACTGGGCTCTCCACGCCAGGAATATATTTTCTAGTTGTTTTGTTCTTTTTTTTCCACCCCTAGGACATAAAATTTAGAATCACGTCATCATCAAACACTTAACAGCGAACATTCTTATCAACGCATCACAATATGATTTCATGGAGAGAAAATCTTGTCCGGCAAACTTCATCATTTTCCTTAAAACGTTAACAGACTACGTGGACCAAGGTTTACCAATGGATGTCTTGTGAATTGTGGCAACTGTGTGGAATGCTTATCTAACATCCTTAGTCTGGCTACTATGGCGACGTTTCTTGAGGCCATTCTGGGTGTTTTAACACGATGTCTAAAAACACAGCGCTACCACATTTAAAAAAAATGCCAGCCACTGTACCAGGTATAGGTGCAAAAGACTGTACACTCGCTCCAAAAGTGTCTTTATGGTTTTGTGTGAGACAATATGACACAACGAACGAAGGATTTTGACAATCCTACCGAGACAACAGGAGTCGCAGTGTTCATTTTGAAATTAATTGGACCCCTCCTTAAAGATACTTTTTGGAGTGTGTACATGAATTTTTCGAAGGTACTTGATAAAGTTTCACGTGTACGATTAATGTCTAAGATTCAGGCACTTGACACCGCAGGCAAAATATTGAAGTGGATTAACAACTGGCTTGAAGACGGCAACAAAGAGTGGTCATGAACGGAGTACATTCAGAATGGAACATTGTTCACAATGGAATACTACAAGGATTTATTTTCGCACCCACCCTTTATGTGATCTACATTAACAATATTGGGGAAAATAGATCGAGCCATATAATCAAGTCTGCAGTCGACAAGAAGATATTTGGGAAGGTGACAAGTCAAGAAGGTGTTGCAAGATCTGTAAGAGCTGATCCAAATGGTTGCAAGACTGGCAAATGTTTTTTAATGTAAAGTAGGTAATTATTTATGACCAACCCGCGGCCGAAATTGATAGAAACGATTTTGAAAACACCAGATTTTCATTGTTTTTTTTACAGTGGACACTGTTGTAGTTTGTGCAAGTGTGTTAAAAAATAGTTATTTCTAAAATAAACGTAACTTAACCTTTGTGGGTATGAAAAAAACAGACCTAACCAACCTAGTCAAACAAACCTTCCTAACATTTACTTAACAGAAGGAACCTACTATGATATGGTTTAATTTTAGGCTCTTTCTGGGTGTGAGATCATGCGGCCACTTCGGCGCTTATGCAGCCCGGGCAGCGGAGTGATTTATTATGATGGCGGGAACGTCGGGCCACGGCGTTGAGGAAGTGATGAACAAATTTCTTTCCGGTCTGAGAGCACAGGGATTCCCGCAGTGTGGACAGTCTCTATTTAAAGAAACAATGCCGTGGTCTTTGAACAATAAAGGGTCTCGTTGTCTTTATCCCTAAAATCGCAAATTACGCCCAAAAAGACCAAGTGAGAGCAGCAGTGAAAATAGCCAACCGAATTTCAAATAATATGATAAGAAATGCTCCTTTGTACGGGAAATACTGTACAGGTATATAGATATGAAAACCTTACCTCCAGAAAGACCCTTAGAAAATGTGCAATGCATTAAGTAAATTAGGTAGATAAATAAGAGTTGTTCATATTCAACTGACCTCAATAATGTGGACATCAGGAGACAGAGGTTTATCCTGTAGGTAATGGAGAAACATCTTTTCCTCCATCAGGGAAATCTTAGCCGAACGGATACCTCCACTTTCATGCACAGCCGCCACCTGGCCGTCCAACAGTAACTTCTTTAAGTGTTCTGTCCTGGTGCGTAGAGTGTCAACCTGCCAAGTCAATCCTTCATAGTTATCTTGTATAAAGTTATGCAATATGGCTGGTCAGTAGCAGGTTGGTTACTAAGGGACACATGTACAGTGCTGATGATTGTTGGCCAATAGTAAGGTGGTTTTGAAGGGAATCAATGACCAGTATAACAAACAACTTTAACTCACAGTCAATAGAGTGTTTTGCAGGTGTCTGAATGCCCACGGTGTGATGTTGATGTGTTGAGTGTTTCTTGTAATAAAGTCAACTTTCTCCTTGATGGTGGAGGCAGAGTCAGCCAAAGGGCCGGGGGTAGCACACCTAGCCTTACTCTTCATTATCTCCAGGAACCCCTTGAATGTCTCCTTTACCTATAACGAAGGAATATCACATTTCGAGTCAGCAAATCTCATACATTAATCCCAGTAAAACTTCTCTGGGTATTACTCTCATTCTTTGCAGTGTACAGTTCCATCCAAAATTCTCTTGACACTTGGCAGTTTCTGGTATCAACTTGGGAGGTTAAAATATGAGGTCGGTTTACAGAACTGGTGAATACTGATTTTCATTATAAATGTGTCAGAATAACGAGAAAATAACACTGAAATACAAGAAAAACATGAGTTAACAGATGCCCTAATCACTCTTACACGACCCAAAAGTAGATGCCAGATATTGCCAAGTATCCAAGGGTTCTGTGTTATTGAACAGCCTTATTTGATTCTGAGAAATGATGATAATTTCTTCTGTGATCCTTAACCTTCAACCTTCACAGCAGTGCTAATGGCAAACAGGAAAATTATTGTGTACTAACAAGATAACAAATAATTTGTATCTTACCATCAGGGTATTGCGGACGGTGCTGACGTTAGGAAAGCGTTCCTGGCACTTGTTGTTCCAGTCCTGTGCTGCAGCACCACAGATCTCTGCCTCATCAATGGCAAAACCAACCTCTTGAGCACTGTTGGCCCTTGTGAGGATTCCTAAAGCGGCCTCCAGCTGTCTCTCATCTCCTCTCCCTTCTTTTCTCATCTCTCTCAACCTTTGGTGTTCCTCCTCCAAGTTTTCTAGTGCGGTATTCATTATAATTTCAAACTGAGTAATTTTATTTAGGTCGTCCTTCCATTTGATGATGTGTTTCTCATACTCGTCCAGCTGAGATCTACTTTGGTAACACAGCTTAGACAATGTACGGACAATAGTCACTTGTTCACCTCTCAGTGACTCAAGTTTTCCGCCGATACCTTTTGTACTAACACTGTCTTCTGTTCTTGTTGTCGTTGTTGTCGTCGAGGTACTAACTTCTCTTAGAGATTTTAGGAAAGCCTCGGCCATGTAATTAATAGGAAATTCTGTTGCAGAGGTGGCTGTGAGTTTGAATCTACATTTTGGGCAGCAAGGGCTCTCATTCTTGAGGGCCTGATTAATACAGCTCGTACAGAAGGTGTGGCCACAGGAAAGAGAACGTGGTCGGAGGTTATCAGTAAATTTGTTGAAGCAAACCTTACATTCCAGCAGATCATTGTCATCCTGTTGAAAATTATAACATTACCATTAAGTTATACATCTGAAAGTTGTTTTAGTTGATGTTGTTGTGTGGTACAAAAAGCATAACACTACAGTAAAGGGTTAAGTCATTCGTCATGAGGTGGGATTTGAGGTGCATTTGGTGAAATATCCTGGGATAACAGATTAACTCTTCCCAGGTACAGTTCTCACCAGTCAAGTAGTACAAGTAGTAGTAGTACTCTTGTTTCTTGAAGCTCTTATGTACTATAATTGTACAGTTATATATTCACTCTAATATGGGTAGTTACTTAATAATACGCTTCAAACTCAAACTGTACAGCACTTTTCAGAAATAACTAGATTAAACATTTGTATTGACAGATAGAATATAAAAAGTTACCTAAGTATGCCCAATAGTAAAACTTTAACAAATTAAATAACAGTACTTTGGATGGATGTTTTAAGAGAGGAAGAACAATAACAGTTTATATAGAACAGTCATCATCATTATAAACCTGAACCATTATACAAAGCCAAGTTTTATATGATAACCTCTCTCTCTCTCTCTCTCTCTCTCTCTCTCTCTCTCTCTCTCAAGAATATAAATGACCAATCTTGTATTCTTCATTTGGCTTCTTGTCTTCACCATTTTAAGCCACATTGTATAAATACTCTTAACTGGCCCTAAGGAATATTAAACACACACACTAATATTATGGTATAAACTAGGGTCTCCTTAGGGTGAGTTTTAACCCTTACGTATTTTCTTCCATCCTAGTTTAATATTTCTTTAAAATCGTGTGAGATAAATCAAGTATCTTCTCAGCGCGTAGGTATTATAATAACAATAATAACTTACTGTATCTCAAGCTGCCATACGATAGCTTACAGCATCTCATTCTAGCATACGATAGCTTACAGCATCTCAAGCTTACTGGTCAGACTACTCACCTGATTGTCCGTACGAGACATCATTAATAGGTTAGAGAATTCGCCTGACTTTGAGGGGGAATCAGGCTACAGTACAGACAGGTTGTAATACTTGGACAAAAGTAGAGGAACGCCAACTAACACGTTCTTACTCCAGAACAAACACTGTAATAAAGTCACTTGGTTATCAGGAGAAATGATAATGGCGTATCTCTCTCTCCTTTTCATGTTGCAGTATTAATTATGTTATTTATTATTTTGTGTTAATTTTGAGGAGTAAATAACACAAGCAACTTAGTTAAACAACCAGGTGTCGTCTAGTGGTCAGGTTGTTAGAGAGTGTAAGACATAGAACAGTAATGAGGTGATTATAGTAAACAATTTATCAATGTGTTGCAACTCAGGCTGGTCACTCCGACACAAACCATTGTTGTTAACCAGGCGTGTGATCACAGTTACTGAATCAACACTCACTCATACTTAGTAAATTCGGTTAGTCACAGTTCCTGGCCAAGGCACACGAGTTGTCAGATACACTATACAGTACAACACCAATAATCCGCCATCACCAGGAAAATATCAATACACTCAGCTGACTATCTACGGTACATTGTAAATAGCTCGCGGTAGAGAGGAAAATTTGTATTGAATTTTCTCGTTTTGGGACAACTATTGGTGGTGTATTATACTAGAAACGATCAGCAATAACTTATATGTTTATCTAAATCATAAAAAAAATGTCGTGGAACCTCAATACCTTCTTCGTCTCCTCTCTTATTTTTCTCTTTTTTTTTTAATTAATATTTTAGTTAGGTGTAGTTTCTCACATATATTCGTTATTACATACCTGTACTTCACCTTGAGTTTACCTGTCGTATATACAGTGTTCACCTCTACACGTTGTCACACTGTCTCTTATTTCTTCGACATACTTGTCAAATTACCTGCCCCGTCGGGTGGTCGGTATCTACTCTGTTAAACAATATTAACAAGTACTGGGCATGTACGGGATCTTGATTGTGCCTGAAATTATGCCAGTGGTGGTGTAATCTAGTCGTAAATAAACTCTTACTCTTCCTCCAAAGAAGTTAGTCCTGACAGTTTTCTTGAGTGAGAGTCTTTTAACGCGAGGCTGTGACTTCTAGTGGAGCAGCCATCCACTAACTCTGAACATGGATACTATACATTACTCTGAGGAATGTCCTTTGGGATGCTTATAGCACCTCTATCAAATTGTCCTCACATTCTCTTTTTTAACTTTTTACTTTTATCCTCTTCGCCACTGATCGGCTTGTTAGCCGCTTGGGCGATCGGTCACGTCTCTAATTACTTTTGCTTTTCATTTATCTTCTTCACCAAAAGATTGGCTCGCTAGCCGCCCGGGCGATCGGTCATGTCTCTGTCACGCACTGTTGGCAAATACTGGCCATGCACCGGCTCCTGAATGTACCTGAAACCGCTCACACTCGGTGCCGTCACAACACTCTCTGGAAGATTGTTCCAAGAGTTTACAACCCTCACTCCGAAAAAGTTTGCCCTCACAGTTTTCTGGACCTGCGGCTTCTTCAATCTTGAGCTGTGACCCCTTGTGGGGCGAGCTTCCGCCAGCTCCAAGTAAGGACACTCAACTGAGTAGTGCCCCCTGAGATGCTTATACACCTCAACTAGGTTCCCCCTTGCCCGTCTGTAGTATAAGCTAGGCAAGTTCAGGCGCTCCAATCTCTCAGGGTAGCTGAGGTGCCGAAGTGCAGGCACCATTCTGGTGGCCCTCCTTTGAACATTTTCAACCAACTGACATCCCTAGCATATCTCGGGGACCAGATGGGGAAGCACTTCACTCCTGAAGATCGTCTAGATATCTGAACGACCTTCTTATAAGACCCAATAATTTATTTGCCTGATTTACCCTCTTCTCGCAATAGCCCGAGAACTTCAGCTCATTGTCAACATACACACCTAGGTCCTTCTCACATACAATCTCAACTAGTGCAGTTTCTTCATCCCGTTGGGACATATGATACGCCTCCTTACCGTTGGTACGCCCCAGGTGCATCATCTTACACTTCGTGACATTGAATCTCAGCAGCCATTTCTTCGACCATTGTAATTTCCCTTGTAATATTTGCACCTTGGCCTGGCCTTATCCTGAACTAGGTAACAGTTGAATCTGAATGACAACACTATATGGTGACTGGTGCCAACTGGGGCAAGGTGTTCCAGTTTGGCCACCATACCCTCCTCGTTTGTTATGATGAGGTCAAGTGGCTTGGGTGTTTGCTCCCCTCTGTAATGTGTCGGGTCTCTTAACATGTTGGAACAGAAAATTATCTCTCAGAGTTTCTACAAATTAATGTAAAAACAGCGTATATAAACGAATTTCTTATCTCTGTATCCTAATATATTTATCTAAACCTGACAGTGAAAAGGATTACCAAGAACGGGGTATGTGGGGCAAACCCTTATTCCCTTAATACGATTAGCAGACCTAGCATGTGTTTGTACTGTGGTTCCTAATTATGTCGTCACAAATTTAAGACAATGGTGGAATCTAAAAATACGGCAATGTGTAAAAATAATAATAGATCTAAGATTCAATGTCACGAAGTGTAAGATGCTGCACCTGGGACGTACCAACGGTAAGGATGCGTATCATATGTACCAACGGGACGAAGAAACTGCACTATTTGAGAAAATGTGAAAAGGACCTAGGTGTGTATGTTGACAATGAGCTGAAGTTCTCGGGCCATTGCGAGAAGAAGGTGAATCAGGCAACTAGATTATTAGGTCTTATGAAAACGTCGTTCAGATATCTAGACAGTCCGTCCCACATAACGATCTTCAAGAGTGAGGTGCTTTCCCGTCTGGAGTACTGTCACCCCGTCTTGTCCCCGAAATATGCTAGGGACTGTCAGTTAATTGAGAATGTCCAAAGGAGGACCACCAGACTAGTGCCTGCACTTCGGCACCTCTGCTACCCAGAGAGATTAGAGCGTCTGAAATTGTCTAGCTTATACTACAGACGGGCAAGGAGGGAGGACCTAATTGAGATGTATAAACATTTCAAAGGGGACTACTCAGTCGAATGTCCTTACCTGGAGCTGGCGGACGCCCGCCCCACAAGGGGTCACAGATCAAGGTTGAAGCCGCAAGCCCAGAAAACTGTGAGGGGTAACTTTTTCTGAGTGAGAGTTGTGAACTCTTGGAACAATCTGCCAGAGAGTGTTGTGACGGCACCGAGTGTGAGCTCTTTCAAGACCAGACTTGACCAACACTGGAGCAGGTTAGATACAGTCAGGAGCCGGTGCATGCCCCGTACTTGCCAACAGTGCGTAACAGAGACGTGACCGATCACCCAAGCGGTTAACGAGCCGATCAGTGGCGAAGAGGATAAAAGTAAAAGTAAAAAAATGAAGACGTCTTGTTTGTTGAAGATTAAAGATGAAAGCATACAGCCTTACCTCACTAAGTATTGCCAGGTAAAATTACGAGTACAAGAGTCAGGGTGGGATCGATGCATCTTTGGTTGACTGTACACACACACACACACACACTCACAGTGATAACATAAATTAGACATTAGGTGAAGAGAGAAACTGCAATAACCAACAAAGAAATTCATTGAAAATAATAAATCCGATACAAAAAATACAACAATAATATAATTGTATCTTACTCTAGTGTTTATCATTAAATTAAGTCAGTTTTACCTCGAGGTTCTAATTAATATTTACTTTCGACTTCCAAAATGACAATTTTTTCCTTGTTTTTGTCAGTGACTGGTTATCATGAGTGACGTCACAGCTTAAGACCAATCAGGTTGCCGCTGTTGTGCTCCAAATCGTTCGCCATCAACTTCTTCTTCATGGAGTGGGATGACGTCAAAATATTCAACCAATCAAGCTTTGCCGTCGAACTCTTTGATGACATATTTTAGTTTATTAATCACTGACTGGATATCCTCATGAGTGATGTCACAGTGAACTACCATCCGAACTGCCGTGTCAGTGATGGGAAGTATCCGAGCAACAACTCTCTCTCCTATGGCTGCCACCTCTTCGTCAGTTACCTAAAGAAAACGTCACATTAAAACAAGATGAAGGATCGAAACCCAAATACCGTTGCGTATAATTATGTTCTTATGAAATATATAATTCAGTAGTCTATATTGGTACGGATCCATGGTCCTATAAGAGAATGATAAGCAGAGAAAAACTTCGATGAGATTACTGCTATATTAATTTAGGTTAAGTTCTATCAGGATTATGGGAGATTAAGGTACAGTTCCGTTCAGAAGTATTATACGAAAAACTTCAAGTAATGAATACATTGAAGACTCTTGATATATGAGCTCCGTTCACCTACTTCTTACAGTGTTCATTCTCAACCAATTTCCCTATTGTATTCTGATATTCTAATGGATACTCCTATCACTACAGTTTTCTTCTCGCGTCAGCAGGATATTCATATCAATATCCTTCCCATCTCCTTTTGATGAGTATTCGTTCAAATCACACTGCCCCGTTGCCAGTTCCACTGTGTGTGTTGGTGGGAGGGTCGGCGTAGTGACCTGTCGTCTAGGAAGGGTACAACAGGCTATGCACCCTTCACCGTCAGTGTACCACGAACTTCTGAACGGAACTGTACATTACGTCAGGTCACATTAAATTAGGTTAGATTATGATTATATGTTAAGTAAGGTAATGTTAGGTACAATTTTATCAGGTTAGGTTAGGTTAGGTTAGGTTAGGTTAGGGTTAGAACCACATAAAATGGGACCAAACTGCATAAACCAGGATGAGGAACAGAAAAAAATTGGTTGATTACTAGGGATGACATACCTGGTCCATCCTCTCACACAGGTGACTAGGGGGAAGAGCTTCAGGGTCACACTCGAGCAGCAAGATATTGGTGTGGGCGGAGGCGGGGTCACACTTGATGATCTCGCTCTTACACTCTACCACAGCTGCAGTGAGAAAGGGAGTGAGTGAGTGAGTGTGTGAGTGTGTGTGTGTGTGTGTGTGTGTGTGTGTGTGTGTGTGTGAGATATTTTCTCAGGTAATTAGCTCTTAACGACCTTGTTCTATATAATTGGTAATGGATCTTATCATTCTTTAATTAATTGAAGGTTGAGGAAAACCTGTACATAGGAAGAGCTTACCTGGGAGGCTGTCTAAAGCTTTCCTGGAAGGCTATCTAAAGCTTACCTGGGAGGCTACCTAAAGCTTACCTGGGAAGCTATCTAAAGCTTACCTGGGAGGCTATCTAAAGCTTACCTAGGAGACTGTCTAACGCTTACCTGGGAGGCTATCTAAAGCTTACCTGGGAGGCTACCTAAAGCTTACTTGGGAAGCTATCTAAAGCTTACCTGGGAGGCTGTCTAAAGCTTTCCTGGGAGGCTATCTAAAGCTTACCTGGGAGGCTACCTAAAGCTTACCTGGGAGACTGTCTAACGCTTACCTGGGAGGCTATCTAAAGCTTACCTGGGAGGCTGTCTAAAGCTTTCCTGGGAGGCTATCTAAAGCTTACCTGGGAGGCTATCTAAAGCTCACCTGGGAGGCTATCTAAAGCAACCTACCTTCACCTAGATTCTAGAACCTACCACTAGCCACCTACCTACACCTAGAACCTACCTCTGGCCACCTCCTGTATGTAGGCGTGATCGCGGGTGAGGGTGGGCCCCACGTGGTCGAGGGCGTATATCCCCGCGGCCGCCAACACGCCCACCTGTCTCATGCCCCCGCCCAACGCCTTCCGGAGACGCCTGGCACTGTGGGCGTACCAGAGTTAAGATAATGGTTTGGTCGTTGATACTTATAAACAAACACAGACAGACATACAAACACATGCACATAACATTGATATCCACACACACACACACACACACTCTCTCTCTCTCTCTCTCTCTCTCTCTCTCTCTCTCTCTCTCACTTCTTAATAAAGTCCTTGGAGCCAACGATGACGGATCCTACAGGAGCTCCCAGGCCCTTACTGAGGCAGATGCTAACAGAAGCACAATCCTTCACGATCCTAGACGGGGGTACTCCCAGGGCGGCGGCTGCGTTGAATAGACGGGCCCCGTCCATGTGTAGAGGCAGTTCTAGCTCCCGGCACAGCACTCCTAGCTGGTGTTTGAGAGTGAGTCCTAGGTCTTAGTAAACGATAAGACTCCTAGTTCAATTTGTGTACATGACCTCTGACCTTACACTAAAAGAAGCCAACAATCGGTAACCTATAATGACCTAACTCAAATTCTCATCAATAAAATTAATGGTCAGGAATTATCATCACCTGACCTGACCTACCTCGTCGAGCCAGGCTAGGGGCAGCACCCTCCCGCCCACCATGTTCTGTGTGTTCTCCACGCAGACGAGGGCAGTGGTAGGCCAGTGGTCGTCTACACCTCTCACCAGCTGTCGGAGCTCCGTCAGGCTGAACGTTCCATCTGGCAGGTTCCTCAGTGTCCTAGGGTGTACGCCGCCCAGCTGAGGAGACAAAGGTGGTGAGGGGAGGGACAATGAGGGGAGATGTAGAGTGAGGGGAGGGATAATGAGGGGAGATGTAGAGTGAGGGGAGGGAAGAAGATTAAGGCAATGGTGGAGCTGGTAGGAGGTGAGGGAGAGTGAGTGAGGTAGATGGTGAGGGAGGGTGAGTGAGGGAGAGTGAGTGAGGTATATGGTGAGGGAGGGTGAGTGAGGGAGAGTGAGTGAGGTAGATGGTGAGGGAGGGTGAGTGAGGTAGAGTGAGTAAGGGAGAGTAACCCTTATTATTACCCCTAACTCTCACCCGCGACCTAATTCACCCATGATCTGGTTCACCCATGACCTGACTGACTCATGCCCTGACTGACCAAATGACCTGAGTCGCCAATAACCTAACTGACTCATGACTTGACTCACCTGAGAGACGCCTCCTTGTTCCCATATGTGGATATGACTCAGGTCACCAACCAACACCTCGCTGCCCCTCGTCCTGCAGTGATTCAGTACTGTGGGGGGTGGTAGTACCTTAGTGGTGGTAGTGGTGGTGGTAGTAGTGGTAGTGTTTAGTGGTAGTGGTAGTGCCTTAGTGGTGGTGGTGGTGGTGGTGGTAGTGTCTTAGTGGTGGTAGTAGTGGTGGTGGTAGTGCCTTAGTAGTTAAATTAATAACACTAACACTGTTAACAACAATAACAAATGGTCTCAAACGTCCATTCTGAGAGGTAGGGAGAAGAATGAATGGAGGAGAGAAACAGACAGACAGCAGAGGCGGGAAATATGACTGCGAACAACTAAATATTTTTCCCTCTGCTGACGGTCGTGTAATATTTCAATGTGATTCTGATCTTTTAAAATGTTGTTTATGCATATTGTAGTATTGCTAATAGGGTAATTAGTCTTAATATGCTCTATTGTGGGTAAAAATAAGTATATATTATATGCATCCTCCGAAAGCGTGAATTTGCTACCAGAGTTTAACAGTTAATTCATGAATAATACTTCTGATAAACTTCCTAAGTGCTCATTTTTTAAATAATGAATGTATGTATCCTTATATAATTTAGCTAAATATCTATCTCGTCAGAAACGGTCATCCCAGCGATTATGAATAAACTCATTTAGAAATACATCTTTACTTCAGGACAAAATCGGACAGGTTTGCAACAGCTCGTACTCACCACAGATAAGGTTACCCATGGTGCCAGTAGGGACGAAGAGTGCCGCTTCCTTGCCCAGCAGCTCGGCGACCTTCTCCTGTAACGCTGTACCCCAGAATTGTAATGTTAGAGTACATGTTTTATTAAGCCTTTGGGATCCCTACAGACTACCTAGCTCCATTTTTATATTGAGTGTAGGGTAATGTGCTTAGTGTGTACTGTACTGTAATGAAATATTAAAGAGTACATTAAGTACATGAATTCTTTAAAACAAATCAGGTTATCAGGTGTGCGTTTATGTATCTAATGAAGGCTAATATACTTGGTGTAATGTAATGAATGTACAGTAATGTTTGAGAGCATATTTTAGTACATGTGTTGAAAATTGAGCAACTTTTATACATGGAGTTTAGAGTTTGACGTAATGTGTTTTAGTGTACCTTAATGCATTCAGAGTACAGTAATGGAGTACATGATAGTTCTCTTAAATAATTTATGTATCTTGCTGTATTCCCCTGAACACTTGGCACCCAACCCAACCCAACCCAACCTAACCCAACCCAACCTAACCTAACCTAACCTAACCTAGTAACAGGATATCTCTCTCCCAGTGCTCACCATTTACTGTAGGATCCTCGCCAAACACATCATCTCCGAGGGGCGCCGACATCATGGCTTCCTTCATGGCTTTCGAGGGCTCGGTGACTGTATCGCTACTCAGGTTTACCATGTGTGTTTCTCCCTCTCCATTCTGGGCACAAATCTGAGGAAAGAGGGAGTTGGAGTGGGTGGTGAGAGGGGGAAAGAAGGTGAAGTGGGTGGTGAAAGAGAGAGAGGGGCTTTTTGTGGGTGGTGTGGTGTGGGTGGGGTGAGAGTTAGGGGGGTGAGGGTGATGGTGAGTGATGGTGATGGTGATGGTGAGGGTGATGGTGATGGTGATGGTGATGGTGAGGGTGATGGTGCAAAATGTTGAGATTGATGAAGGTGGTGATGGTGGTTAGGGAGATCCTATATAGTAACACCAACGACAATTTCTATTAAACTTTTTTTTTTCGAAAATTAAATCTGATTTGTAAATAGGACCAGATATGTAGCCATGATACAAACAATAACTGGGGGAGAGAAACAGAGAGACGGACTTTACACACACACTGATAATAATAAGGCGCAATAGATTGTGTTTATGCCATCCAATACGAAGCTGGCCAGCTGATTGAAGAGAGTTACCAGTTAATACTTTTTTCATAACAATTTTCTATTCGCTTTTTTAGTTGTATTTCAAGTTTATTCTCCAGGTTTTTTTCTGATTTAATTTTAAGCGTAAATCAAATAATTAAAGAAAATGTCATAGTAATAAAGGAGGTTAAGTTCTGTAGGTGTTTAATACTTCCTTCTCAAAATTGTCATCATATTCTAAAGATTAAGTCATTGTGCTCAAGGGTTGAAGAGATAACGCTAGTTCGTATATGATGTTAGAATGACTAGAGAAACAATCGAGCTTTACAAAATATATATATAAATTAGTCTGTTATAATGTTACCAATAACTAAATTACACTCAAAACACTGGTGACTGTATAAGACGGTCTTTGATGCCACAACATTATTCAGGGTAAAGGTGGTGACGACAGGCGGGCATCACTAGAAGGAACTTATGGAATTGGACCAAAATTTCCAGAGATGTTTTGCATGATACTAAATAAGAAAATCGATACGAAAATACACAGAATTTAACAGAAACTGTCCTAACTTAATCTAACCCTACCAACCTAACCTAAGCATAACTACTGTACATACCTGAAACACTACAGGTTAAGTGGACATATTGTTTGCCAGTGTTTATATGTATACATTATCTACCTACTGTAATGAATTTGTATGACGATTTTCAGTGGATATTTAACAATCTATTACGATATATGTCTGTCTGGCTGTCTTTATCGACGGGACTTGAGACTACCATGATAAGGAAAGAGGGGGAAGGGAGGGGAGGTTACAGTTAACTTCATTTCAAGGAAGCTGACCTCTCATGAACGGCTTCCTGCCTTCAAAATGCTTAAATGTTACTTAGAATTAGACATTTACTTGACGTTATGTAACTTTATAATCATTCACAGTGCATCAACAGCATTCTAAGAATCCTGACGATAATATTGTTGATCATATATTGTGAACATATCCGTTTTTTTATTTATTGAGATGATCTTTATTCAATCAACAGCTATATAATTCATGTTGGAGTTTATATACGTTGTATGTTCATTACCCACAGTGTTGAGTAAATTTCCAGCTCCTCTATAGTCACTTCAGTATTGATTCCGTGAACAGTCGTTCTCTCTGATCTCAGACGATGACTAAAGCTCTTAATTTAATCGGTCAAAGATTAATAAGGATAGAAATACGTTGGGAATAGTCACCTTAGCTTGCTGCTCCATGACGCCTGTACCTTCCCCACCACACAGCCAACACACACTGGGCCAAGAGAAGCCTGAGAGTGCCTAAATATATTTGTTGATTGTATATTAAAGAAAACGGAGACTAGAGGGAGAAGTGGGGTAACTCCAGTATTTTGCTGTGATGTACGTTTAGAGAGTTGACTCACCAATAAAAAAGAATGAAAGTTAGTGACAGTATCAGAAATAATTGGATCGACCAGAGGGTGAGAGTTTGTCAGATTGGGAAGTTCTTTAAAAGCATCCAACGTGCAACTCCATCTTATCAGTTGTCACATTAAGTGTCAAAGAGCAAAACAAAATGATGAGAAACCTTTAAGCTTTCTCTTACCACTGGAAGTCAATTCTCTGGGTCATATTGCCACTATCAGTGTTCATTATTTGGTAGGGATGTGCGAATCAGATTAATTCATCTGGTCTTGTATATATTGACCAGTATCTTAACCCAATCAGTGGAACAATCTTATTTTAATATATATTTGTGTATCAGTCTCACAGTTTTTTTACCTCTCTATATTGTATCTTTATCTGCGCCTATGTCCCTCCTTCACATCATCACACCTCTCCCTTCCTTCCTTCCTTCCTCAACCTTCAGTAAGGCTTCAGTAGGTCTTCTCTTACTCCCTCTCCTACCCCTCCCTCCCCACACACCATTCTACTCTGCCCTTCATGAGTGAGTGAATGAATGAATGAAGGAATGAATGACAGTGATTGAAGGAGAATGTGTGTATCTGTTCTTGTTTCCATACACACACACACACACACACACACACACACACACACACACACACACACACACACACACACACACACACACACACACACACACACACACACAAACGCCACAAATGTTTCCATATATCCATAAGTATATACCGTATGTATACGAAAAAAGTATGTATATATGTATAAAAATATACATACACGCATGCATCCTAGAGTGTGAATGTATGTTGTGTATGTATAACGTGTTGAGACGTGTGTGGACGTGTGTATGCCCAGGGCTGCCACAGCTGATTAACATCTGACCAAAAACAATGGTGTTCCACAGGGGGATGATCCCACGGTGTCTGGAGGTCACGTGAGGGTAGGTGTGGAGGGCAGTTGTGGAGAAGTAGTGAGGGCAGGTGTGGAGAAGTAGTGAGGCAGGTGTGGGGAAGTAGTGAGGGCAGGTGTGGAGAAGTAGTGAGGCAGGTGTGGGGAAGTAGTGAGGGCAGGTGTGGAGGGCAGTTGTGGGGAAGTAGTGAGGGCAGGTGTGGAGGGCAGTTGTGGAGGGCATTTGTGGAGAAGTAGTGAGGGCAGGTGTGGAGGGCATTTGTGGAGAAGTAGTGAGGGCAGGTGTAGAGGGCAGTTGTGGGGAAGAAGTGAGAGCAGGTGTGGAGGGCAGTTGAATTTATACATTTTGCAGTGAACAGTAGCTAGTTTATTCTGCACCCTGTAAGCAATAGTGGAAAAGGATATCAGAACAGAGGTCACGGGTCACAAAGTGCTGTGCCATTGTAAGCTTGGACCTGTCCATGAAAGGATTTGTTCTTCTTTTTTCACACTCTAAGACTGTGTGGCCATATGTCTGGACACACACTTGGCAGATGAAATTTAACGTGGAAAAGTGTAAAGTACTTAGCTTAGAATATGTAAATAGGGACGCCAAATAAGTAGGAATCTTAAATCAAGACAGCAATGCATATTCGCTCGAAACAAGGCTAACAAGGTACTTGGTTTCATACAAAGGAGTGTTATTTACAAGACTAGGGAGGCTTTCTCGAGGTGGGATTACGCGCTTCAGTTCTGGTCACCGTACTAGAGAATGGATATCGAATCCCTAGAAAGCATTCAGAGAAGGATGGCAAGACTAATTCACGGTGATTAGGAACCTTGAGTACAGAGACAGATTAAAGCATCTGAATTTGCACTCCCTCGAGAGACAGAGAGTGAGAAGCGATATGATCGAGGTGTATAAATGGAAGTCAGGGCTAAACAAAGGTGATATAACAAAGGTTCTCAGACTATCAGGAGCGAACTCGTAGCAATGGTTTTAAATTAAACATATTTAGATTTAGGCGCGAAATAGGTGAACATTGGTTTGATAATAAAATAGTGGATGAGTGGAACAAGTTAGCGAATGTTCCACCATTTTATGCTATGTTTACTTTTTATTAATTTACTGGGGGGGCATATCTATTACACCAGGCAGCTTTCCGGAGCCGCACTATTGCCAGGGGCTCACTGCGGCGCCTTCGTGGGCGTTGTTGTTTCGTGTCAGGCCGTCACAGAGACCGATGCGACACACTGACCTTAACCTGTCACTGGTTGAGGTCAGTTCAGGGGCGGTCATGGGTCAGGTCAGGGCCGGTCCTTTGGGAGAGACAGCGAAAGTAAGAAACACACGAGCTCACCAAAACAAATTTGTCTAGTACCCCATAAGTGTTAATAACAGCCTTGGGTAATAAAGCACAACTGAATCACACCTTCACCATATTGTAATGTCAGTGTCTGGTAATAGAACACAAATGTGGGGGGGGGGGGGTCAGACACCTGGGTTGACCTGGGTCATCTAACTTGACCGTGACCTATGACCCCATGACCCAAGATATCATTTCTTATATTGCGGTCAACTCTTCCCAGTCTCAGTAAATCTCAATACCCAGACATAACCAGTTGACACTCTCTCTCAACACACCTGAAAATTAATGATCTGTGTTCTCAAAAGGTCTCGAACAAATATCCGAGACCGAAGCACGCGAGACCTGAAAAAAAATACCTCGAGACCTACATTACTATGGTGAGGGCAGGTGTGGGGGATATAGTGAAGACAGGTGTGGATTAAACAATGGAAATCAGGTATGGGAAAAAGTGTTGAGAAAAGGCTTAAGGAACAGGTGTCCACTAGAACAGTTGTTGGTGTTGCTGTATAGATGGTGGTAGTTGAACGCTTATGTAGTTAGATACAGTAGAGTCCTTGTGTGATTTCGACTCCATCTTTTTACGATATTTTATAATTGCAATAAAAAAAATTGGATGGGATCTTACATTTAGAGGGAAAAATTTACTTATGAATCTTTGGGAAACTCTCATGGTGTTGTACGTAAGTGAGTCAATTTGATACATTTTTGATCTAACGTCTCCAATCAAGAGGAACTTCTTAACTTTTGAACTTTTGAGAATCGATATTTGTGTCGTTATAATGGAGAGAGCTTATTACGAACCCATGAGAATCCAGTTTAATGTTGTACCTTAAGTGATTCATTTAGATATATTCTCACATCTCCTGCGAGAAAAAAAAAACATTATTCCTTACGGATCTTTAAAAACCTGGTCTTCCGTGCTGCAGTTCCGGGTACAGCATCGTTAAGAGTGTCTTGAAAGCACCTGAGCACCTACTTGAGGAATGTGTGCGTGCCTAATGAGCCAGTGACGCAGGTACAAAATATCAATACCCACGTGAAAACAAAATTAGCATCATAAGTGTTCTCAAAAGATGGTAATGTGAGATAGATGTTAAGAAAAAAACCCTCATGATATGTGTTGAAGACCTACCTGACGGAGGTATATTGTATCAAGAATCAGGAACTATAGACACGAGATCCAAATATAGACACCCAGTTATAGAAAAACCAATAAGATACATTCCCCGAAAAACTTGTTGATTTTAAGTAAATATCACAAACAATTCCTTCAGATATCAACTGAGGAACTTCCAAGTTTAGGTGTACGAAACAGGAGCGCCATAGACAAAGGTTCTAGCGAGCAATATCCACCTGAAGAAACTAATGATCCAGGTGAAAGATATAGAAAAGTGAGGTAAATTTTGGCAGTTTCATAAAGATATAGGAACAAGTTGTCAGATGTTCAGCTTTGAGAGAGAGAGAGAAAGAGAGAGAGAGAGAGAGAGAGAGAGTTCATAAAGTTATAGGAACAAGGTGTCAGATGTTCAGCTTTCAGAGAGAGTCAAGTTCATAAGACATTATCCCTCCAAATTTCTCTTTACTGCGGCGTTGCTCTGGCTATCTCGTCCTCAACCACTCGATGCAGTAAAATTCAAAGCAAAGATTCCTTCTATGAGACCCCCAGCTTAGGTTAAGTATAGAGACACCTACCTAAGACCTATCTCTCTCTCCCTTCCTACCCTCCCTCTCTCTCTCTCCTTCCTACCCTCCCTCTCTCTCTCTCCTTCCTACCCTCCCTCTCTCTCTCTCCTTCCTACCCTCCCTCTCTCTCTCTCCTTCCTACCCTCCCTCTCTCTCTTCACCTCCCCATTTCCTCTAAGCTTTTCCTCTTTCCACTCCCACTCTTCCTTCCGACTCTTTCCGTTCGCCTTCCTTATTTCCTCTAACCTAACTCCCTGACCTCTCACCCCCTCCAAAGGTGTAAAGACCAGGTCACACACACACACACACACACACACACACACACACACACACAGACGTCACTAATAAGATAATAAAATGCGTCACTCGTAGATTAACGTATCGGAAAATGCGTCATCGTTCTCACGTCACAAACAGAAAATGCGTCACTCGACAACCAGACAAAGACAGACGACACAATCTGACGACTAATGATATTAACCGTACCTAACACCACCTAATTTAACATTGGACTCCAAAATTAACATAGGACCCCCAAATTAACATAGGACCCCTAAGTTAACATAGGACCCCTAAATTAACATAGGACCCCCCCAAAATATGTAAATCCCTGACAACTAAACCAAAAAAAAATAAAAAATTCAGGGTTACATCAAAGTCTTCACTACACCTTTATCGTTCTCCACCTATTGGGTTGTGATGCTGGGATCTGTTTCAGTGTCTCGGGACCAAATCTAACCTAACCTAACCTAACCAAACCTGACCTAACCTAACCTAACCTAACCTAACCCTAACACAGCCTAACGTATCCTTACCTAACCTAACCTAATCTAATGCTAACTTAATCTAACCAAAGGCTAATCTAACCTAACTTAACCCCTCAAGGTTGCGTTAGTGTTTAATCATTCAGGTTAATACAAAGAAGGAACTACAGGTATACAAATAAGAAGACACCAAAAAT